GAAGTCTTGTAAGTGTCTCACTCTTCCTGTTCAGCATTGCCCTGCTGTGCAACAGAATTTACAACTTGTCCCCCCTGTGTTTACAACATGCTGGAAGTAGTGGTGTCTCACCACCTTTATGCAGTCACTCCAGAATCTATAGACTACAGTGGGGGGTACAGAATGACAGCAAAATGAAAGGGAAGCAACCCCGCAGGATGAAAAACTAACCATTGCAAAGGAAAGCATATCCTTTATATTATATAACAAAAATTAAAAATACAACAGGGGTAAAAGTACAGCTGGGACTCTTCATAATGGGCAAAGCAGGTATACAGCCCAGGAGCACAAGTGTAGACAGCTCATCAATAAGAACCTGTCAGGTGATTTCTCTCTCCGGCATTCAGCAAAAGCTGGACCTTGTCGTCTAGTTTTACCATAGATATACTTTTGGGAAATGCAGCACATAAACCAAAAGGATTTTAGATTTCAGCCCTCATGTAGATCTTGGTTCTAATTTTGACGATCTCCTGTGGTAAAGAAAAAAACAACCAAAATCTGTTAAGATGTATTTAATTTGAAACTGTCCCTAGGGAACTAGTGCATTTTAAAAGTTGTGCAGTCATCTTAATTTATTAAAAGCAGATGAACTCCAAAGCAAAACAACGCTGCAGAAGAGGCTTACTTGCTTGGCTGTTAGCTTGGATTCAATTCTTGCTGTGGAAGGATGTGGTTTATAGAACAGACAAAACGCAAATAATATTGTTCTAACTTATAAATGGCTAGCTTTGGTTTTCCACCTTCCTGACTAAAATACTGCGGCTTGCTGCATCCTGAAAGACCCGTATTTATCCAAGAAATAGGTATTTTTAGATGTGTTTCTTTCCCATGGGAAATATTAATGTGAAAACTTGCGCTCACTCTAAAGTCGTATCACCTTATAGGAAAAGTTTATATTCTGGTCAGAGGATAAAGGGTGAAACATCTATTAATATAATAGCATGTATGTGTGTGAAATCGAAGAATTCCAGTAAGCAGTTTTTATTTTGTTTGTGCATTTAACCTCTTGCCGTCCGCCCGTAGTAGAAAAACGGACGGACGGCACTGCTGCATTGGCGGGTTGCCGTCGCCAGACGGCATTTTTTTTCTGCTTGCGCGCGCCCCTAGCGGGCACGCACGGGCAGAAAAGACCCGTCCAATGCGAACACCCGGTACCGGGTGTTACACATATAGGCGATCAGCGGGTCACTAGCCCGCCGATCGCCGATATGTGCTCGTTTGCGTCCCCCCCCCCGACCCCGCCGGTTTTTTTTTGTCCCCCCGACCCCTCACCTTGAATCCCGGGATCCTCTGCCCCATCTGCGGCCCGGGATCGGCTCGGAGGGCGTCAGGAGGACGGGAGATCAGCTCCTTGCTGACCTCCCCCCGGGCTGTGAATGCAGAAGTGATGTGTATTACATCACTTCCGCATTCACCTGTCAGTCATCTGGCTGCTATAGCCAGAGACAAGAAGCTGATGAAGCAGATCTCTGCTTCATCAGCTTCTTTTGGGGTCCACAGGTGACTTTAGGGGTCCTAGAGACCCCCTAATGTCTCCATAAAGAGGACCTGTCAGTGTGCCTTTGCTATGATATAGGGGGATTGTTATCCCCCTATATCATAGCAATAACAATAAGTGCAAAAAAATTAATATAAATAAAAATAAATAAAAGTCACATATAAAAAAGTAAAATAAAATAAGTCCGATATAAAAAAAAGGGGAATCATTTGGGTATTATCGTTTTTTTAGGTTTTGCACGCGCACGCAATTTTAAGGCTTGACATGTTTGGTGTCTTTTTACCCGACGTGACCCCGTCTTTTATATTTTACCAAAAAATTGGGTAATAATAAATGTTTTATCATTTAATATAGGGGAAACTGTTTTTTTTTTAAAAATTTCGGTGATTTTTCCTTAATATAGTAAAAAAATAAAAACCCCAGTGGTGAATAAATACCACCAAAAGAAAGCTCTATCTGTCCCCAAAAAAGGGTATAAAATTCATTTCAGTACAGCGCTGCATGACGGAATAAATGTCAGTCAAAGTACCGCAGCGCTGAATACTGAAAAATGGCCTGGATGGGAAGGGGGTTTAACACCGCGGATGTCAACTGGTTAATGTACATAAAAGATTAAGGGAAAGGCCGAACTTATGATGTTGAATTCCCTCCTCTCTCCTGCCGTTTTCTCTCTTTTTAATGCCTTCTTTCTGTTCCACATTTTGAAAAATGACGTGCAGCAGCTGTTTTTAGGGTTTAATTGCCCAGGAGACTGTAAGAAGCAATGTGGTTCCTCCATGCCTCCTAAACACTTAATCCAGCAGCAGTCTGATGCTTCAAGAAGAGAAATTAATGCTCAGTTACTATGCTGTGGATATTTATAAGACTTCTTTTTTTGCAACGAGCATTAACCAGTCCCAGTGTATCTCTTCTCCTTTTATTTAGTCTGCTCTTCTATCTCTGAATGATAACTAAAGGAGGTGGGATGCAATGTTGATCATTTGGCAATGAATGATTACACCCTCAAATTAGTTTCTTTTCATCGGACATGCACATCTGCTGTTCAGTGCATGTCATTGGATCTCCTTTGAGGAGGTAATTAGGAGTTTTCAATTATTAATAATTTCTCCTTTATCAGTGGGAACAATTGCTGTCTTTCAGATTGCTAGCTCATCTCCAGTGGCTGGTCTTTAGAATCGAGCTCCATAAATGAGGAAGATTGCACACAATTCTGTATTAAAGCTAATTTTTACTTCTATGCATGTTGAGATGTAAGAGTTTGGTTTAATTGCAAACAACTATATTCTTTTAATGTTTGATGTGATGTTGCTCATCATAGGCTTATGGGTGCTTTTTGGTAATGTCCCACACTGTACACTAGGTGACACCAGTTTTCCATTACCTTCTACTCCCATTCTTTGTAGAATGTTCAGGCTTGCCATCAGAGCAGTGCAGACAGTGTTCCTGTAGGAATCCAGAGTTCCTGGGTTGGGACAAGTACATTTATGGTCTGTTAGGGCTTGTTCACACCAAGCGCGGAGCAGATCCGGACCTGAGCAGGTGCATACCGGATCAAAACTGCGTCCAATGTATTCCTATGGTATTTTGACCTCCAGTTCACATCGCAGCGTGCGGATCCAGACCAGATCCAGACCGGATGAAAAAAATGCGGCAAGCCCTATTTTACCTGCTCTGGATCTGGTCTGGAACGCATCAAAAACGCATGCAAGTGCCTGAAAGTCCATGTTAAACTTAAATTATTTTTTCTACCAAAACCGGCCCTAAACGCATCAAAAACGCGTCTAAAACGCAGCACAACCCACTACACTGCGTGTGCAGAAGCCTGACCGGATCTGGTCTGCATTTGGTGTGAACAAGGCCTTAGTGTTCAGACCCATGTTGACATAACATATGCCCTGCAGGAGCCTCAAGTCATCACAGATATAAACAGAAACGTCATGTCAATACACTTTGGATCTTTATGCTAGTTAATGGGCAACCCAAATGTGTGAAGCTTCTTGTGCATGTGTGTAATAGATTTTACATGTAATATGGTATTGTGGCAGTGAGTTCCAGACCCTAACTGATCTTACTGTGAAGAACCCCCTTCGCACCTTGTGCTGGAATTTTTTTTCCACCAATTTTAGGTTATGGCCTCTAGTTTTTGTAACGGAGTTAATTTTAAACAGTTTATCGCTAATGTTGCTACCACCATTAAACATTTTGTACATGGAAATCATATCCCCCCTTAATCTCCTCACCTCTAATGTGAACATCACAGAGTGGCTATGAATTCATCATTTAGGCTTAAAGGAGAACTATGGGGTTAGGGCTTTTCCCCATAGTTCTCCAAAGGGTAACAGGACGACACAAACTAGCGTCCTGCCGTCACCCTAAGCTCTGTATACCGCAAGCTGCAGCTATCTAGAGGCAGAGCCAGTTGTACCCGTCCCCTCCCCCGTCCGTTCCGCCAGTCAGCGCTGGAGGATCGGACAGGGGAGGGGAGAATCCAGTCACGGATCTCTGCAGTGACAGGATGGAGAAGTGAGCGAACGCCGGTATGTGTTCGCTCACTTCCCGATCTACTGAGCCAACCTGTGTCAGTCTCATTGTCACAGGTCGGCTAGAACTATGAGGTGAGTGAAAATCACTCGCCTCATAATTCTCCTTTAACTCGTACACTATTTTAAAAAAATCCCACATACTGACAATGCTTTCAGCATATTTGTTGTTCTTTGAAATGGAACTCCAGGAAAAAAGTTTTTTTATTTGAAGTTATCGCTAATGATTTTTCTAGGTCTGAATCACTGCCGTGTACTGTACAAATGATAGTTTCACCACTGCCAGAAAGTACAGCCAGCACTATACTTCCAGTGCGGCTCTCATACACAGAAGCTGTACTGTGGTTCATCTGCCCTTCCTCTCCCCTTACCCATTCACAGACTACCTTGGGATCTTTGAATGGGTTCTTCTGAGTGTACTACTAACTTGATTACCAGGTGAAAATAAAAGAAAGAATGGTCTGGGGAAAAAAAAAAAAGAAAAAACAAATGAAGTCACCACATCTAAGGACTGGTAAGCTGCAATATATTATATTTTTGGAGTTTAATTTGCTTCTAAAAGGTGTTCAGGTTTAGCTTTTCTGGCCTTAGTAACACCCTTGGCGGTAGATGTAAATTGGGTTGTATGGGCCCCTAAAACTTCTGATTGCAGTCCTAAATGATACACTAGTATGTTATCAATTTTGATAAGCATTTTGTGTAATAGTAACAGGAAATATGTAGAATTATTTGCACATTACCAAAAAATGATACAATGTAAACACAAATTTATCTTGTAAATGTTCGTGGTGCTTATCAGAAAACCAATACCAATAATAACCTATCACTTCTAATTGTCATCAAAACATTCCACAACTAACCCCTTTGATTTTCCTACAACCAGTTCCCAAGGTTTTTGGATAATTGGAAATAACACACCATTCAACGTCTTAAAATAAACCATTTATTAAGAAAATGTTCTTCCAATTTCAATAGTTAACTTTTCTTGGATAACAAATCTGAAGCTGGCCATAAAATGACACATTCACAGTGTACACAACAAACAGGAAAACATTTACAAGGTCTAGAATGCTCAGCGGTAATACTAACTTGCATCAGAGTCTGAAAATGTCAAAAACAGTACATTTTATTACAGTTCTCATTCATACGAGAAATAAAAAGCTGAAGAACAAATTAAAACACAATGGTCCATGTACAGTAGTAATGGCACTTCACATGCAGCTTTTATAAAAACAAAAACACATGTGCAGGGATGCTGTCACATGGAGAACATGTGCAGGGATGCTGTCACATGGAGAACATGTGCCATATAACACATACAAGAACAGCAGCAGGAGGAGGACAAGTGACGCCCATCATCTGAGAAGTCTTAAGTCACGGTAATACACAATGTTGCACTGCGTGCCCCAGCTTAGTCTTTATGTAAATATTACATACAGTAGTGATTAAGAGATGACTTGCTGAAATACATTTAGGCCATATCTCCACGACCGCTTCATTCTTCATCTGTGCAAACCTGCCCACAAAAAAAAAAAAAAAAGAAATGTGATTTCAAGTTAGGTTTATTTTTTTCCTCTATTTTCTTGATCCATAAAAGAGGTCTATAATCTGCTTCACTATGTTCCCAGGTCATCTATTGCATCAATGTTAGTAGCCGTTGCAGATCCCCATGACCAGTCTTTTAACATTTACTACAAATTGTACACCTATGTGCAGGTGTGAAGTGGAATATTTGATTCTATATGGCTGATTTTTCAAACCTAAAGCAAGGGTCCAGAAGGTCCACATCTGGTGTCTTACATCACAGGTCCTAGAACACTGCCGAGTGTAGGGATCACTCCCCCGAGCCCAGACACTGTTGGCTAAAGAAGTCTGCCTGACAATAGTATACATCTGAGATTTGCCTGGTGGACAAGGCACGAAAGTGAAGTTCTGTCCAGGACAGGACCTGATCTACCCCTCTTGTTGCAGCAAAACTTACTTTTTTCATTGATTACACTGTCAATATTTAGCTTGAAATAGAACTCTAGGCGAAATTTTTTCCCCAGATGTCAATAGAGTGGGGTTAGAACATCTGCCTGGTTTTTACCACTTTTTTTACACTATTTGCCCTGGTGGCCTTTTTTGCAGGGACAAAAAGTGATGGGGAATGCACATTTTTACAGTCACCAGAAATTGGAGGAAAGGTGGATAGCTCCAATGGGGACATGTGTTTCTGTGCGTGCTATGAAATCCAGAATGTTCCCTCCTTGGGCAGATTTTGGCTGAAGTTACAATTTAAGGCTGCTTTAAGAGTCCATCATTGTGTATAACACCATTGCTCTTATACCCAACATTCCCTTACTTCTTCACAGAAAACAGTTGCTATATTTTATGTATGTACATGTGCCATCACATGTCAAGGAATGTTGATGTGTAGATATGGGTGGAACAGCCAAGGTATTTAAAATGGAGAGCACAGAATAATGTGCTAAACCAAATTCAGAAAGGACTACATTCAACCAACCATTTATATTTTATGTGTATGACAATGCAGAGAGCCTAAGACTACATCAAAATCTGTAATAAAATATGTTGCAGCTCTCTGAACGTTAACTCAGTACAAACCAGCTTATTAAATAACAATGAGGGTATATAAATGAAGCACTGTAAACAAACCTTTCATAAGACACATTAGTCCTCTAAATGAATAAAGTTTCACAAACCTTAACAAATGGATGGTCCAAGAGCTGACTAGCCGTCCATCGTTTCTTTGGATCGCTTTCCATGCAGTGAGAAAGAAAATCTTTTCCTTCTGGGCTTATCCTATCTGGAATAGGAGGCTTGTTTCCCATCCCTACTTTGTACATTATCTGAAAGTTGTGTTCATATTCATGCCATGGTCGCTACAACAAAAATAAATGCTTATTAATACAGCTGCTTTCTATAGAACTCTTGTTTACATAAGGCTTAGTTACATTAGGACATTTACAGAAAAGGAAGAACCCTGTAAGTCTTGGTAGTAGATTTATAAAGTAGCAGTTAATCTGCTTTTTGATGAAAAAAAAAAATCTTCTGCCACATTCATAAAGCACATCTAATACAAATAGCCACTTTACTTACTTCAGGACTCTGAAAGCAAGCGAAACCCTCATTCATTTTATTGAACTGGTAGGAAAAAGTGCTGAGAGGTGGAGGAAACCGTATACATAACTTTTACATGTGCAGGGGCGGTGGGGAGGGGGCACAGAAGGGAGTTGTTTCACATTACACTCACTTCCTTAGAACTGATAGAGGCGCATAGAATTGTCCTTTAATTACTACACATGCTCATGGATGTGCCATCCTCTCACCTTGCCTGTGACCATTTCAATCAGTACACAGCCCAAACTCCAGATATCTGCTGCTCGTCCATGTCCTTCTCCTTTTGCTCTGGTGATAACCTCTGGGGCCATGTATGCTGCAGAAATATGGATAAGTATAGGTTACATTTTTGTACAACTGCAAACTGTCAGAAGAAAGTGCCAAAATCACATCCCAGGAAACTATCATGAAGGTGTGCGGGATGTCTTAATGTATACAAAGAAAAAATGTTTTGCTAGCAATAAATATGTATCTACATTAGAGCTTTAGTGTAAAAAATGCTTTTTGTCAGTGCAAAACTTGGCTTACAAATTATTGAAGTTTAGTAATATATAAGAAACGGTGCAGAAAGTGTTTCAGAACCTACCTGCTGTTCCCATTGTACTGTTGACTTCTCCAGGCATGGTCTGTGCATTGTTTTTCAGTTTCACAGAGCATCCAAAGTCTCCCAGTTTGATTAGCCCAGAAGATGTAAGAAATATGTTTGCACCTAGGAAAGTTATATGAAAAGCAATCTGCATAAATAGATGTAGAACCATGAAAAATGCTTCAGTACACATACACACAAGTTTGGTTTTTAGATTTTAAATGAACTGGACAGTGCTATTCATCAGGCATGGTGTCAGATTCCTCGCATCATCTTTCAACATCTCGTGGAGTCAATGCCAAGAAGAATCGCCGCAGTATTGAAGGCAAAAGGTGGCCCAACGAAGTACTGATGGGTTGGTCATATTAATCTGGCCACTCTATATATACACATACATTTACACACACTATATAGACGATAATCTCTGCTATTAGTTATCACAGGACTTTTCAGGGCATTTCTGTAAAAAATTTATTTGATTTACTATGGTTTGAGGAATCCAAATGTGGCTGAACTTGTGCACTATGAACAAAACATATTATAAAACATTTGTGGTGCTGTGTGTCGAAGTCTGTACAGTAAACAGTAAAATGAACACTATTAAAAGGGCCGAGAAGGTCTCAGAAATTTCTTTCTGTAAAAGAAAACATACTTTTTAGGTTCCTCTCATGCCTACGTCATTGGCTTTCTAATGATCGTTTCCAAAGCCCTCTAGGGTTTGTTGACATTTTATTTACGGTAATATCCATCTGACTTTTTGTTCATGTATAAAATGAATAGCCTTTTTCCGTTTGTAAAAACATACATGCTCAGGTGCAGTATTCTCTAAATAACTAAAAAGAAATACACGGACTTGCTCCTACAAAGCATAATACATCATCATTTGCTCTCTGTATACAAAAAAAGTAATAGCCTAATATTTATGTGACAATGGACACACGGCCATAACATTATATAAAAAGCTAAAATGCCACACAACCTGGCAACCCTCATTTACCTTTTATATCCCGGTGAACAATACCATGTTCATGAAGCACATTTATTGCAATGGTGATTTGCTTAGTGTAAAGTCGTATGACGTGCTCCTGAAGGCCAAGCCTAGAAACTTCCTCCAAAGTACCCTCATCACAGTATTCCATGAAAATGTACATTTCTTCCTGAATTTGGAGAAAGAACTAGATTACTCTGGGGGGGGATTTATCAAAAGTGGAGCAAACAGAACCTGAAGCAGTTGCTCATGGCAACCAATCAGCGTCTCTCTTTAGTTTGCTCAGGTAAGATTTGAAGATGAGAGAGAGAGAGATGCTGATTGGCTGCAGTGCAAATCTGCTCCAGTTTTGATAGATCCCCCCCATGTCAACTGAATCAGTAGAGTTATATAATGAAAAACATATCTACTGCACTACTGCTACTTTGAAACCACTAACAATATACCCAAGAAGCTGTATTGAAAAAAAAAGTAATGAAATTGCCTTAAAGTAGTATTAAACGCTAAAAACTTTTTTTTCAATAATTAATCCAGATGAAACAAATATACATATCCCAGCAAAGCATTGCTCTACATTTTTGCCCACTCACAATCCGAATGTTTCTGAACAGCTGCTTACAAGTCTCACTGCTCATCTTCCCTGAACTTCCTGTCCAGATCACAAAGGACAGTGCAGACTCCAGCAACTGTTCATCCACTAGCTCGGAGAAGGGAGGAGAGATGGCCAGGGGGGAGGAGAGAAGCTTGGTTTGTTGTGTTTGTGGAGACACACACAGCTTACTAGCACACACAAGGGCTTAGCTTGAGAAAGGAGTCACTCAAACAGGAAGTCAGGACCAATGTTCAGGGGAGCAGCTGATTCTGCAGGAAACTAAAATGTTTAACTATCAAGGAGGAGCATTCATTGTAAGTGATTTCATCAGTATTTGAAACAGCTTCAAATCCTTTTGACTTTAATATCACTTTATCAGTGTGCTAATGCTTTGTGTTTGCTGTAATCCCACAAGAGATGACTTGCTGGGTTGTTTGAAACCTTCTGCGTTAGAGGGTTTCCCCGTTTGCTTTCACTACAATATAATACAGGACTTTCGTGAAGTAAAATGTCAGATTCCCTTTAAAAGGGATTGTATTGGTTTTTTTTCCCTTTTGTAATTTTTTTTTTTTTATGTAGAGAATTTCAGGTTGATGTAATCCTCATGAATACATGTTGATGTATAAAAGATCTTCTCTCAATGTACAGTTTTTATGAACATGGGGGCAGCCATCTTTGTAGATTACCTAGGCTGGCTGTCCTTTCTGCTTGGCAGTACTATGCATGGTTATGCTTTACTACTTTGTTCTCACAATGCAAATGTAAGGATCTACCAACTCACTAAAAACAATGCACTCCCTGTATGGCTGATATCCTATCTTGACAGCCTTTAAAATGGAAAGGCTGAGTGATTGCTGTAAATCTAGAGCTCCCTCTCTAGTGGTTATTCTACAAACCTCCATACTGCTGGCCATACACTAGTAGATTTTTGAACTTTTGTACGAAACATCTTTCTTTTGACTTTCTATTAGTTGATGGGGTCAAAACGATGATCGATTTCAGCCACAGTGAAGAACAAACTTGAAGGAGCAAGTTTGTTCTTCACTGTGGCTGAAATCGATCATCGAACAAACAAAATTCTAACAGTGAATGTGGTTTTATTTCGGGAAACTCCATTCATTGAAAATGAAACGTTAGAACCAAATGAAATTTCGTTCAACATTCGTCAAGTGTCTGATGGCATTATCGGGTGGTAAATTTAGAAACATCTTTCGTGCGAACGTTCGTTCGGGAATTCGCTAGTATATGGTCAGCTTTATGTGAAAGTCACAGAAAATTAATTCAGGTGAATAACTCCCTGAAAAATACATCACATTGTCCCATTAGGTGTGATGTGACATTGTATTACACACTGCACACTTTCTGCAGAATGTAGAAAAGATTACAAGTGCAGAAAGAACAAGTGATTCTATTGTAGGCTAATACTGTGTATTCTACTGTAAAAGAAAGCTGAAAACAAACAGCTTCACATTAGGTACAAAATACTTACTCTGTGAAGTTCTACACCAAAATATCGGACAAGATTTGGGTGTTTGATACCTTCAAAGATTTTCAATTCATCTGCTGTTTCTTTGATTGTCTTATGGTCATTTGGCTGAAAACGTATCTAGGAGAGAAGAAAAAAAAAAAGCATTTAATGATGTCGTTTTTTCACACAGAACCCCCTTCAGAAATAACAAGTTCATTTAAAATGGTAAAGTATTTCTAAACCCAATTACTTCAATCTTATTTAATCTTTAACATATGAATGTCATTTCAAAAGTTATTTAAGATTTTTAAATCTGCTGCAGCGTATATTAAAACAATAGATCAAAACGCAAGACTGACACGCACCACATTTTCTCTTCCAACTTCAAGTGCTCAAAGAAAGAACACTTATGTAAATTGTTAATTAAAATTAAAATTTTTAGATTTGTCAAAATAACTGAGTAACACAGGCGACTGCTAATCGGCAAAACACATCATGCTTGTGGCACTAGTCTGTAGCGCAGATTCATCCAAGGCTCTCACTTAGCTGCTATTTAGTATTTTCTTTATTTAACTATTTAGTATTTTGGCAACAGATATATGAATGCTGCCTTGACTCTCATGCTCCTGAATGTAGGTCAGAATTAGTTGCTTTGTATCTAGGCAACAATACCTCAATGAAGGATTACACCATGAATGTATTTCATTAATAGATGTGTTAGCTTCTACAGCCTGATATGAAAAGTCTAACCTTATCATTGTACGTTTACATGTCACTTCATTTACAGCTCTTACAAAAAGTATTTACCGCTTTAGAAATGTAATGTTTTATTGTAGCATTTGGCCAACAGTTATATGTATAATGTCTCTAATCTTAGCCCCTGAAGCCTGTAACTCCTTCAAAGTGGTAAAGGGCTCCTGGTGGCCCCTTTCATTTGTCACTTACTTAGGATGGATGGCCTGTTTTGGGCAGATTTACAGCTGTGCCCTATGCTTTCCATTCCAAATTAACACCTATTTTATATTTGTCAGATGTACTATTCACATAGCATAAAGTAAAATAATAAATATTTAAAACAATGCTACTAGCAGTTTACATTGCTTTTATTTGGGTTACGGTTTCTTAAAGGAGAACTATGACATGAGTGATTTCCACTCACCTCATAGTTCTAAGCCGACCTGTGACAATGAGACTGTCACAGGTCGGCTCAGTAGATCGGGAGGTGAGGGAAAACATACCGGGTTCCCTCACCTCTCGATCCTGTCATGGCTCTCTGCCGTGACAGGGGGAGGGGCTGGAATCCCCCTCTCCCCGCTCCGATCTGCCAGCGCTGACTGGCGGAACGGACGGGGGAGGGGGCGGGTACAGCTGGCTCTGCCTCTAGATAGGCAGAGCCAGCTGTCACTCACGCAGCTGGGCGGATCCCGTCATCTAAGTCGGGATCCACTCCAGGTGCGGCGTCTCAGTATACTGCGAGCTGTAACTCGCGGTATACTGAGCTTAGGGTAACGGGAGGACGCTAGTTTGTGTCCTCCTGTTACCCCAAGGAGAACTATGAGGAAAAACACTGACCCCATAGTTCTCCTTTAAGGGTTACAATGTCTACTTGCTTCTCCTGCTCTGTAATGTTAGGAGGGGTTGCGAGGGGTAAGGGGTTAAAGAATTACAACCCTGGTTTCTCTATTGTATGGTATGACTGTGTGAATGAGAACAAATAGGTTTTCTTAAATTTGCCTGCAAAAGGGGAAATACACTTTAATAAAATCGATGTCCTGTATATTCATGCATATTCAGTGACTGAATTTTGTTTTTGTGTCCTTCCATGCTCTTTTCAAAAACCTGTACTTGAAGTTGCTTAGGGTGTTCTTTGTCCTCATGATGTAAGTTATGCCATGATACTTACTCACCAAAAGCTGGCCCTTCCAGATACACATGCATTTATAGTGCAATAACTTGAAACCTATTGATTACACACACACACCACTTTGCATGTCAATAGCTTTAATTAAATCTACTTACTTCTTTCATAGCCATCAACTCTCCAGTGTCAACACTAATGCAGGTGTAGACTTTCCCGTATTGACCTTCACCTGTAGGGAAAAAATACCACAACGTTGGAAGTCACAACTATCAAAGCAAACAACTAAAGGCGGTGGAAAAGTTCTAAAACAGTGGCTGAAAGTCAGGCCTTTAAATGGTTACTACTCTTACAGTGGGCTGATGTATGAAAAGGGAAGGTGTTTCAGTGGCAGTCTAAGTGCACAAATTGTAATTTTTCCGTATTACTTACAAAATTAAAGTGTATCTACAGCCAATTATTTTGATGCATGGCAAGGAACCTGCTTCAAGTGCAGTGTGATGTCATTAATTGTGAATGGCACCCCGCATACTTGTCCCAAATCAGTGGACTGAAAGAAATAAAGGCAGAAGGTCACCTGACCGCTTGTCTTTACAGAAAGAGGCCAGCAATAGCAGCCCCCGTATTTCTCCCATGTCAAGTTTACTTTAAGGACACGTCTACCTTTTTGCAGTGTGTTAATGCATATTATGTCACGCATTAAGGCAGGACATTGAAAATAAGCTGCCAATGCCCTAAAACTTCACAAAAATCAGACACGACACCATGGTGTCTTGTGGGCCGCTACAACGAATGTGCATTGCCTCAATGAGTTAGGGTGCCATTCAAAATAATTGGCACTGCAATGCATGTACCATGTATTGCCAACCATTGGCGCAACACAATAGTCTAAATGGGCCCTAAATTAAATGTATATTTTTTAGGATTTTTTTCAAGATAAAAATTATTTTTAATCCTTTTTAGTAAATAAATATGAAAAGTCCACATGAATATTTCACATTTACTATTGGCAGTCAACATGCCGTGACTGAGCTACTGTTCCTGCCGAGTCATTAATTACTGTGCTGTAATAGCCTAAATAGTTTGTATAAATGTGTTCTCCTTTTAGTTACACACTCTGAGGAATTAGACAGGGTCAAGACTAATACTAATGTAGTATGGATTTTCAATTAGACAAAAGCAGTAAAAAAAGTAAGCAGTCTGCACTGAGCTAGAATATTCAACATGTCTTGCAAACATATTGAGTGGAGCAGACATCATTTGGATCAAGTATCCATAGTAAACAATCAGCTTCTATCTTTCATTTTCAAAGCTTAACTGAACAAACTGATGAGAAAAGCTGATTACTATGGGCAACTGTTCCAGATTCTGTCTGCTCCACTTTTGATAAATGTCTCCCATGATGTGTTATTACCCTGTTCGAATTGTTTATTTGTAAAATATAGATTTTATTACAATAGAGGAAAACTGACAAATTTGATTATAAAACTTATTTTTATTAAACAACAAATTTGACCAAAACATTCCCAAATTCCCTTTAAGGAACGGAATGAGAACATACCGATTTTATTGCCTCTCTGCCATTTGAATGTCACCTTCCTAAGCCCAACATGCATAACATTGTCATAGGACTTAGGTGTGTCGCAGACTTGGCCAATTATGTTTTTCCTTCGCATTTCTCTGTATCGTTCTTCTTCAAATATCTTCACAGATTTCTGAACGGCCTCAATTGGACGTTGTCGGGTTGCTGTGTCTACAAATAAGTAACAACAAAGCTGAGTACTGCATGTTACACTTTTTTGTGTGTGGTAATGGTTAATTTCGCAAAGAGAGAGAGTAAGATTACACACAAACACCACAGCATTCATATCTACATCAGTCTGATATGCTCTATCAAACAGGCAGTTGAATGTTATTTTATTTACTTCTTAGTTACCAGTAAATGTCCAAATGTTTTTATTTAAATGATCAAATATCACTCCATGTGTCGAAGCCCATTTGATAATAGATAGCTTTACTTAACCACTTGCCGTCTGCCCATCGTGAAATTATGGGCGGACAGCAGATCCTTCCCGGCAGGGTCACGTAAATGTGCGTCTTTTTTTTCTGCTCACGGGCGCGTGCAAGCAGAATACCGCCGTGAAGGATAACAGACGTCACCGGCTGTCTCTTACTAGCGTTCGGCCGGCTCTATAGCCGACCGATTGTTGTATGACCTCGCATGGTGTGCGCCCCCCCCTTCACCGCTGCCAGTTATAGCGGGAACCTCTGTCCCCCTGTGGTGCACGGGACTGAGAGGAACAGCACAGCGGCTGCTCTAGGAGAGAAGGAGGAGAGATCAGCATTTCCCACCGCTGATCTCTCCCCCTTCTCTCTCTCTCTCTAAAGTCTGAAGCGATGTGTATTACATCACTTCCGCCTTTAGCTTTCACTTCTCTGGCTGGGAGCCAGAGAAAAAGCTAATGAAGCAGATCTCTGCTTCATCAGCTTCTTTGGGGGTCCCCAGGTGACATTAGGGGTCTTGGGGACCCCTGATGTCTCCATTAAGAGGACCTGTCATTTTTTTCTAGCTATCACATTGGCTGCTTTTTAGCCCCCTGTGTGATAGCAATCAAGTTAAAAAGGAGAACTATGGGATTAAGGCTTTTCCCCATAGTTCTCCTTAGGGTAACGGGAGGACACAAACTAGCGTCCTCCCGTCACCCTAGGCTCAGTATACCGCGAGCTGTAGCTCGAGGTATACTGAGACGCCGCAGCTGAAGCGGATCCCGACAATTGTGCCGCAATCCGCCCAGCTGCGTGACCGACAGCTGGGTCTGCCTATCTAGAGAGTCCGTTCCGCCAGTCAGCGCTGGGGGAATCCATCCCCTCCCCTGTCACGGCAGAGATCCGCGACAGGATCGAGAGGTGAGCGGACGCCGGTATGTGTTCACTCACCTCCCGATCTTCTGAGCCGAGTGAAAAGCACTAGCCTCATAGTTCTCCTTTAAGTGTAAAAGAAAGGTTAAAAAAAAAAAAATGTAAGTATCATATTAAAAACAAAAACACCAGTGTCTATTTACCCAACGTGACCCCGTATTTTATATTTTACAAAAAAATTGGGTAATAATAAATGTTTTATAACATAACGTAGGGGAAACTGTTTTTTTTTTCCAAAGTTTCGGTCCTTTCTTTGTTATATAGTAAAAAATAAAACCCCCCAGTGGTGGTTAAATACCAGCAAAAGAAAGCTCTAGCTGTCCCTAAAAAAATGGTATAAAACTAATTTCAGTACAGCGTTGCATGACGGAATAAATGTCAACGTACCGCAGCGCTGAATACTGAAAAATGGCCTGGGCAGGAAGGGGGTTTAACACCCCGGTGAGCAAGTGGTTAAAGCAAGGCCCTTGGAAGCCACAGTTGCAGTTCTTCTTACATAAAGCCATACATGTACAGCAACTGAATGAATATAAAACTGCATTGCAGCTAGAATAAGCTTCCAGTTTGTCATCTTATCACTCATGTTGTTTAACACCAGAAAATATGCAATTGTTATACAAAGTGTGTACTTTGTAAATGCATTAATTTCCAAAACAGTCATTTTAGATTATAATATATATTTTGTAATGAGTGCTCTGTTAGCCTTAGTATGAGGAGGATGTGACCTTCCTTCTATGATGTAGTGCTTGGGCCGAAGTGTCCAATTGCAGGGCTCAAGTACTATCGTGGAGGAGGTCATTAACCATTTGTAGGCACTGACACAGGCTAATAGGGATTGAACTCAGGGCAGCAGGGGAACACTAGAAAGGAAAGCATCAGTGGGTAGGTGGGGTGGTCAATCAAGCGACTCTCATTTTGCCTTAAATTAACAATAGGGCAGGTTCTCTTTAAAGAGTTGCTCTGTTCCATTACCTCTAGTCTGACTAATCAAAGTCTGAAGTTCCCAACTTCGTCGTGTAGATCCTCCTTGATCTCCCTTAGGATAAGTTGGTTCTAAAAGTTTTGAGATAAGCATTCATGGTGTTATTTTTATTATAATTTGTTAGTACATTATAGCCATAATAAATTGTAAAAAATAAATTGCTTGCTGATCACTGTATGCAGTTAAAACAAGCAAAAATATTCAGTAAATGAATTTATTTGTATCTACATTTATATACAGACTAAACTGTCCTGCAAAAGGAGACAAACTAACACTGCAAGTGCTCAAGCACCCCCTGACAAGGATTATCCTAACTCCTGTCAATTTACTTGCAGTCTACATGTATATATTAAAACTAAACTCGAAGCACTGTAGCTGTTTTTCCTTATATTCCATCAGAGAAATTAAAAGTGAAACCAGCAATTTTACTGGCTTAGGCCGCAGCACTATGTGTGCTCCAATTTTAACATATCTGCCCCCAAACGTTAAAATCTAACGGCATAGTTTTCTTATTAAGAAAATGTATAGCATGTACTAAATGGGTGTCACATAGATCGATTCTTAAAGCTATAGTTGAATCTGCTTATTTTTTACCTTCCTTTTCAGTGCATAGCTTCCTAAAGATATCAAAGCACCTTGCCTCAGCTACTGCTCTCAGTAAGAACCCCCAGCCCTGATGCTAGCAATTGGCTGTCTCTTGGAAGTAGTTCTGTAAATATCAAAATACATGGAGGGGTGAATGTCACTATGAAGAAGTGTGTGTTTGTAGGGAGGCTGTATTTGCAATGTGAATGCCCTGGGTAACACCCACCTGTGATGCCGAAAGAACTGAAATACAATGAATGAAAGAGGCAAGCCAAGTATGGCTAGAGTAAAAAAAAAGGGCTAGATGATAGACAACCTCCAGCCAGAAAAAGAGGTGGGCTCTGCAAGTGCGAGAGAGCCCACCTCTTTTTCTGGCTGCACACTGTGGGACGCTCACAGTATGTAGTGAAGTCAGAAGCAATTGTAGTGAAGCAATTTCTGTACACTGTGCAAGGCCTGAGTTCAGCTTTAACTATGTCTATAGATGGTAGTAATACATCTTCTAAATGTAAGAAAATACATTACTTGCATAACTTGTTCTGAGGTATACTTTACCTTCTCTCTCTTCTGTAGGGCTTGAGTGACGACTAAGCGATCTAAACTGAAGCTCTGATGCTATAGAGGCCAGTCGGTCATTTTCTGGAACACTCGAGCCCCTATGTGAGAGTTGGAAAAAATATTTACTTGAAACACAATGTTAATCTGTTTATAAAGCTTCAACAGTGGCAGTAAACTGATGCTTTAAAGTTAAAGAGCTTTTCTAGTTTAGCCCTAGATTTCTGCAATCCCATCCTAAACATCTCATTAATGAAAAATATAGATTGCAGTGCAGGAGTCAGGTTTTTTTGCCAATACTCTGAAAGAGAACCTTCCAAATGTGTCTACATTTTTACATAGCACAGAAAACAATCATCGTTCTATTGTTTTTGCTACTGAAATGAGTTGGGTAAACAGTGAGGCACAAACTGTTGGCATTCAAAGCTCATGAGAACAACCTAGGACACAAAAGTGACTTCACAAATCTTACAAAGATGCCTCTTGTCAGGCATTTAAGATAATATGAATTGTCAAGACTTATTTGTGGCAGTTCCAAAAACCTGATCCAAATTACATACAGCAAGAATGACATAAAAATAAAAAGTCTCTGAGAAACATCAGAAATATTTGCAAAATGCTATTGTTAAATGAGTTCAGTTTCTTCACATACAGTTAAAGCAAATCTGTTTAGTGGTCAGTGAGGAGAAAAGAGCAAACACAAAAATAACAAGGACACAAACATTCACATAGGAATTGTAAGTAAATTCAGCACTCTAAAGCAGAAGGAAATGGAATGTTGCATTTACAAATGTCATGATTTTTTTTTAAATGTCTCCAGACCTTTACTATGCCATAACCCCAGCATATAAATAAACAGGAGATATTTACATTATCAAATACCAGGAAACCTATGAATCTAGTCAGATGATACCCGTCTAAATTCAATTGATGTGAATACATACATAATGCAGAAACAACCTCCACCCATCTACAAAGAACTGATACATTGCAGAAAGCACTACAAAGCAGCATAGCAGCCATCCTCCCATGCAACTATTTAACTCCCCCCATCCCTGACTAAGGCCTGACTATTATCTGCTGAGGCACGGAACACTGCACTGTGTGTCTAAATGTGTGCCAAAAATATTTCAGGGTGAAGCAGGGGTGAATTGGGCCAGTGGACATAACACTCAAGGTGTGGTACCATTCTACAGCATTTGAGGATATTTTGCATTCAAGTAAGGCGAAAGGTTTGCTTGAAGACAACAGCCATAAAAACAAAGAATACTTCAACTAACAGCAACGTAAAGATCATTTGTGTATATTACTCTTGTAATAGTCTATTTTGTACATTTAACCAAGACATTATGTCCTACAAACTGAGACAAAGAACAAGTAGAGATTGGTATAACTTCACATCTATGGATGTGGTCTCAGAAGAGAAGCGTTCCTCCTCCGAGACAGTCTGTCTATTCTGATCTTTACTGCTATTCAGATCAAAAAATACAAAAAGTCCTCAAAAAGCCAATGTTCTAGCTAACTACTTCCGTCTGGCAAAATATACATGAATATACAATATTGTCCTGATAAAAAAATAGAGGACTGGGAGTTTAAGCCTATTTCCACTTTTGCAGAGGTATTTAAAAAAAAAACATATGCCAGCAATGTACACCAAGTGTACATGAAACAGGCAGTTGATGTATATGGAAACAGAAACTTACATTTTTTTGTTAGCATTCCTCTTCACATGTGCAAGAAATGTGAAAATATCCCCCACAAGCCCCCCCCCCTTTTCATTGGACAGTGTATTGCGTTTACTGATCATGTTACAATGGGTGACAGGAGGGGTGGAGGTGATTACAGCCTAATTAACATCTGACCCTGGTGTCTGACTGAATTTTCTGTGGAGAAACGGTAGAATTTTTAGGTTTCAGGCCTCATAGCACTTTAAAAAAAAAATGAAGAAAGCCTGCAATGAGAGTCATGAAAATGTACACACACATATACATCATCACCACAATAAATGCTAATCACTTACAAAAAAGGTGGAAATGTACTTTAAGGGGAGTACAAAAATCCTACTTTGTTTCCAGCCAGAGTGACAAAGCAATTCAGAAACAGTTGGGACATCCAAAAGCAGTCCAACTAAGGTGTAGGCAACTCAACAGCACTAACAGCACTAACAGTACCAATAGAACAGAACTGGGAATTGCCTGCAGCCCAAGGCCAGCCTGAAGGACCAAAGCCCGGAGCTGAAGCCAGTTGAGACCAGGTCCCCTACCAAAACCTGTCAACACAAAAAGAAAGATGGCATGGAGAATCAACCTGATGCTCAAAACCACCAGATGGGATAAACTCAGGAATGCTGTGGACCTTTGCGGTGAGTAACTGCCTACAGGTGGCACACCGTATCCAATGTTGAAACAGAACAAAGCCAGATCTGTCTCGATCTTGCAGGCTTTCAGTCCGTTGGGGAGATGCTGTCCAGAGTCCATGATACCTTCTCTTCACAGGGGGTTGTCTGAGTGCTCTACAAGGCTAATGCCAGGAAATAGCACTAGACTAAACATGAGAATCAATGCTATGAAAAGTATCAGGTGTGCTTGGGTGACACAGATGATCTAGGCCCATCTTGCATAGTAGCAACAACCATGCTTGAAACACGGAAATACTGATCTTCCAGGAGATTGGGAGGATGTATTTTGCCAACTCTAGGACTGGACTCCCCAGGCACCTGGCCATAGACAATATGTCATCAGTTTGTCCAGAAACTGAATTGACTTGTCCCACAATAACAGTTGAATTGAAGTGTTCTGCAGAGGAAGAGTCCGGTTACTCCTAAACTAAAGAGCCCAAGTCTGGAATAATAGAGTTAGGAATTTCTCTTAGCGAAGAAAAACTATGGCTTTCATGTTTAGGAAAAAACCCAGATTCATAAGCTCCTCGGCTCCATCTAGTGGCAGAGATGCGATGCATTCCCAGCTCTGTGGGAATTTGTCCAGCTTAAGGCTGGGTGGAAGATTTATAAATTTGCCCCTTAGATTATGCTATACTGTTCATTTTTATTATAATAGTGAAGAACAGACTGTAGAATGCCCACAGAGAAAGACAGTCTAAGAAAAAAAAAATGCTATAACAGAAATAATAACAGATTATGGCATAGAAAACTAAAGCGTGCATAGAAAGACTCAAAGAAAACTCCAGTTGCTTTAAGAATTAGAACATGCATTATTTCTACACAAATCATTAACATAATTGTATTAAAAATACCATTCCATTTTAATATTTAATTCATTTAAAATTCTCTTTCTTGTAACCATGAAAACAGTGCTCAGTTTGTAGATATGGTTTCCCAGAACACACACACACACACACACACACACACACACACACACACACACACACACCCTGCTCCTCATAAAAAAGTGTCTTTGTTTCTGCCAGAACTCTGCACAAAGTGTGAGGTAATGTTTCAGCCAGTCTGATGTTTGGAATATGGTATTCCTAATAAAGTTGACAGGCTTATTTCACTGAATCCTTTTTGACTTAGCAGTTGCATGTCTAAAGGTATGTCAAGGATTCAAAAGTTCCTTTAAAAACATTGGGGTTAAGTGATTATACTAAAAGGCAGAACGTCCTGTTTCACACTGAAAGATTTGGTTTGCTCAAATCATCACAAAGTAAGTAGCAGATGGAGGAGGGTGTTGTTTCTCTTCTAACAAAACTGAAGTTTCAGCACATCATTCATAGCCCCATATAAATACTATATCCTCACCGATGAATTGTCATATATACTGTATACATCTTCCTTCTTAAACAAATAATGACCTATGCTAGATGTTTTTAGAAGTATCATTTGTTTATTCATCATGCTCACATTAACCACATTGTTAGAGATGGAATGCAACAAAAGACCATGCCTTAGGCTGCATTTACAGTGCAGTGAATGTGTGCTACTTTTACATCTGGTACTTTTCATCACTTTGAAAAGTGTGTTTTAAAAGAAACTACACCAAAGATGCAACACGCATTTAACACACGAGTGTGAATGCACAGTAAGCTCAGTATAAAGTAGGACTAGTAGCTGCATCAACAAATTTTAAAGTCTGCATTAAAACAGAACTAAAGCCAACCCTTTTATTGTCCTTCGTTCTATTGGGTCACAGGGGAATATTTACTAATGTACTCCTGTGACCCAAACTCAGCATACAGCAGGCCACTGCCTGCTACATGCTCACTGAACAGAGCCACGCTGCAGCTGGGAAGGATCCCAACAATATTGTGGGACTGATTGCCAGCTGTCTAGAGGCAGAGCCAGCTGTGCCCATCCCCTTCCCTGTCTGTCCCCCCAGTAGGCACTGGAGGAAGAGAGCCAGTCACCGCTCTTTGCAAGCTCAAGACCATGAGCTGAGTGATCAGCAGTTACATGATCATTCAGCTATCTATAGAGCCGGCGTGTGACAGCTTCAGTGTCACATGCCAGCTCTAAGTATTGGAAAGAGTGCATTTTACTCTCCCAATATTACTTCTCTCTAGTAAAACTATCATAATTAACACTATCAAACTGAATAATTCTGTCTTTCAAATCATTCTCTAAAGCTCAGTTACCACACAAAACTTTTTTTTTAGGTTTAATAAGAGGAAAGGTCAGGTGTATGTCAGGTTTTAGAATTGTCCCCATTGACACTTCCCATTACTTCCTGTTTGGACACCTATTACCTGGACAGGAAGTGAGGAGAAATCCCGCCAATGGGATTTCCCCACTCCACTATAAAATGTTTTTACTGCTGTCTGTTATTTCTTTATAGGAGAACAACAGAGGATACATTCTTTTCATACTCTATCCAACACTAATAAAAAAAAGTCTTGACTAGAGCGGGGCTTTACATGGTGCCCTTCCAAAAGCGACAATTCATTTTTGGCAAATGGCCAGTTATAGTAAAAGTTGTGCTGAAAGAGATATAGAAGTTGCCATTGCTAACCTCCCTAATAAAATGGCAATTGTCAGGCTATTATGCTTATCTTCTAACTTTACTAGTTTAAGTCACCAAGGTGGAACAAGCATGCAACAAGTGAAGTTATAGTAATGTTAAACAACTAGATTTGAATACTTTTTCTGGGTCAGTGAATTAAAGTACCTAGCAATGACAGGCAACAGCAGGCTTTTTATATTTCTCTAAGCCAGGTTTTCTGTAAACCTCTCACCATTTTTTTTCATGTGTGGGAAAGCTACGCAGAGATTCAAATTTTGCCCATACATTGTCTCACAAACATATTTAATACTAAAGCATACTAAAATAAAACATACATAGAAACAGTGTATAGTAAGTATAGGCTATTGATGTTCTGAAGTAGCATATGCAAATGAGAAGCATTAATAGCCGATTAAACACAAAAGAAACACTCAAGTTATAGAACACGGATTTAGGACTGCGGTGAATGAGAAAGCCAATAAGGAAAGTCAGTAAGCGCCCAGCAGAAAACACCTGTAGACATTGCAATAGCAGATGACCTGACAGGGTGGCACTACCTGTTATCATTTACACTGCTGAAGGATTTTTGTTGAACCGAGTCGCTACTAAATGGAGTTGGGCGACCGGCAGCTGTGCTGGGTTGGTTCTTCACATCACAAGTGACAATTCGATTGCTGTGATAAGAAGACAAACATCAAGAAGTATCTCTAGTGATTGAATAATGAAAACCCTTCACATTTTTAACACGATGGTTGTATTAGTTTTGTTTTAAATATATACATCTTCAGTCTAAAGGCAAAGAAAGAGATGAATAGCCACAAAGGGCTCGCTATGGTTCAATATAAATATAGAGCATTAAGAATGCTCATTTTCATATGTTCTGCAAGAGTCCAGAGCCAATGCGCCTAAGGAATTTGGTATGAGAAGTACCTATGACATGTCCCCCAAAGGGTCTCTTGGTACCTAGAATGAATTTATTGGCTCATGAATTTTAGAAGACTCTGTCCATTCCTGACTTAAATAACTTCAATTTAATACACCAAAAGCCCTTACTAAAACACATTGAAAACAAATAGCAGATTTTTCTGATGCTTTTCATGTGAGTTACAGTCGAGAAGCATGCAAAGTTCAAAACATTTCAAACTGAAGGCTGACTAGATCAAGTGCTGCCAAAATATTTACCCAATATTAGAGAAAAAAACCCCAAAAAACCTTTTTCTTTGTTCCCAATATATGTTCATATGATTAATACGATTTCGTGGATAAACAAAATAGAAAATGTAAAGTCATACTTGACTTGGGATACTTAAAAAAAAAAAACCAAAAAAACATACTAAACAACTTATAAATGACATATATTTAGTGAAGTATTTTTGAGCATAGACTATGCGATAACTGGCTTAATTTTCATCCTGGCAGTCATCTACTGTACCTGGCTAACAAACTCTAATAGCTGGCAGTATTTATCTTCTGAATATTGATTCAGATAATGTCGGCTTGTAAAAAGGTAACCATACATGTTTAGTGGTACAAGCATTGTCCTTTCTCTGAACCCATTAAACCCTCCAACAGAGTAGAGCATAAGAGAGGGGCTGCACAGAACAGAACTGCTTTACAAAAATGTTTTATCCTTAAAAAGGAGAACTATGAGGTGAGTGCTTTTCACTCACCTCATAGTTCTAGCCGACCTGTGACAATGAGACTGTCACAGGTCGGCTCAGTAGATCGGGAGGTGAGCGAACACATACCAACGTTCGCTCACCTCTCGATCCTGTCACGGATCTCTGCCGTGACAGGGGAGGGGCTGGATTCCCCGCTCCGATCCGCCAGCGCTGACTGGAGGAACGGACGGGGGAGGGGGCGGGTACAGCTGGCTCTGCCTCTAGATAGGCAGAGCCAGCTGTCACTCACGCAGATGGGCGGATCCAGACATAATTGTCAGGATCCGCTTCAGTTGCGGCGTCTCAGTATACTGCAAACAGCGGCTCGCGGTATACTGCTGCGTCTCAGTATACCGCAAGCTACAGCTCGCGGTATACTGAGCCTAAGGTGACGGGAGGACGCTAGTTTGTGTCCTCCCATTACCCCAAGGAGAACTATGGGGAAAAGCCTTAACCCCATAGTTCTCCTTTAAAGAAACCTGTACTGACAGAAATACAGAGGCTTATATTGCTGACCTCTCTCTAAAAGTGCCATTCTAAGTTTTGACCCTAAATCACTGACCAGGAACAACAATTCAAAATAATAATTCAGAACACTCAGCTAACATACTTGCTCCAAGTCAGTGACTTACAAAGTATTGAAGCAACAGGATCGGCATACTAACTCATATGTTTGACATAAGCAAAGTGCAATGTTTCCTTAACAGTATTAGGTAAATGCAGGCACTTTTCCTCAGCAAAAACCTCTACTAGTCTACTTAACTTGTTTGGCTACATATACAGTGAACTAGAATACACTGCATATATTGATCTAGGTAACAAAATATTTTTTTTTTTTTAAAAAGGTGCAGGTAGGAAAAAATAGATAATTTAAAACAAAAAAGAAAATGAGTGTGAAAGCATCAGGAGTAAAACAAAGTTGTGCTAATAAGCAGAAGGTATGGGAGAATCTGCAGCTCCACATTACTCACAAGGTAAAGAAACTAATCTCCTTTTCTGGAAGAAGAAAAACACTTTCATAGATATCCTATGGATATAACTCAATAATGAGGATACCCAGTTTTCAGAACCTTCATAAATTGTAATATGGAGTAACTCAACTATTCTTGAACAAATCTGATCTTGCTATGCATTATCGATAATTTCTGCTCCACTGTTGCAAACGTATTCAACAAAAAGTCAGTTTTTCATATATTCTTAAAATGAATACCTGAAACCTTCTGGTGTAGGAGTGTTGAGGTGAGGGTTTGGTGGGTCACTGTGACATCGAGGAACCTTCACAGGTCTGGGACTATTGCGATGTGTAGCTATATGCAAAAATATGGTGTTAAGAATTCAACGAAAAAAATACATATACACACACTATATATATCTATATATCTATAGATATATATAATGTATGTAATGTACAATATACAATATAAACATGTTAGAATAATATTTAAGAGTACTTTTTATTAACTGTGTTGATTCCCATTTATTCCTCTTGTACGTCCATCAACATGACACAACATAATGTAGTATAACTAAGTGCTCTTGTAAAAATGCAGACAATGTGACCATGAATTAACTTTATACCAGTATGTCCAAGCCTACTGTTTATAATATCTCTATGACAAGTGTACAGCTGTGATGAGCACATTAAAAAATATTTTAAAAGGCAAGGATGAAAGAAGCTTTTGTTGTCAATAAAACTTTTCTTTGCGTCACTGCCATGGAAACAGAGGCTACAATCATCTTCTATTCATCTCCCTAAAACACACGTCTGAACTGTACTTCCGTGCAGCTGCAAAGCCACGGCTTTATATTAATTTCATTTTTCCTCCTTCAAAAGTTCTGGTTTCACTTAGTTATTGAAACCATGGAAGGAGATAGCCAAAAGAGCAAACTCAAGCAATTAAACTGGGCCAAGTTCATGTAAAGGACAACAAACACGAAATCTAGATTTTCTTAAGAACAATAAACAAATGTGTTCTAATGAAGGCAAACAACATACTGTCCTATATTCCTAGTTTACTCAACAGTAAATTACTATAAAAATACTACAAGTAGAAGTTTTATGGCAAAAGAAAGACAACACTTATTTTTCACACTAGATTACAAAACTAAACAGTACAAAAAGCACCATCAAGGCAAGACTAAATACATGAACTATTGACAAGCAATGGTGAAATGGTTATGCTGGAATGATAAAAAGACAGACCTTTAGGCCCATGGAGCCAAATTGCATGTGTCTCACAAATTCCTCTGTAAGACTACAATCTGCTGCGGACGGGAGACGCTGTGCAATACAATGACAGCTGCCACCAGCTGCAGCTGTTTGCAGGTCGTTCGCATATAACTGCACAAGTTGCGATTACCTGCGGACAACCACACCTGGATGCAGACAAGTATTAAATGCAACTGTAAGTATATATCAGTAAAATAATTTATTGATCTTACCCAGGTACAAACCTGTAACAGGACTATGGGGTTTCCCAATAACATGGCCGATACATTCATTCATGAGAGCTTGCAAGCTCTAGAGAAAAGAGAACATAGTAAAATGGTTGCATACCAAAATTATAAAAGAACAAAGGGTATTAATAGATCAGAAACAAGAAAATTAAGGAAAAAAAAAAAGGAAATATATTTATTGTGCATTAAGTAACTTAAATGTACTTGGTATCAGCCTCTTTCAGTCCCTGTACAGCAGAGCTAAGACTAGGGGAGGAGATTGCAAAGAGCATGCTAACAGGAATAGACTGCAAAATGACCGAGAGATGAGCTCTTCAGTCTGCTGCTTTTCATTCCCCTGTCCAGTCACATGGCAGGGATGGAAAGAAGACCCGTAAATGTTACCGAACTGCGGCATTAAAAAAAACAGAACTACCCTGCCAGACAGGGTTCTGCTGTGTTGCAGAGTGTTTTCAATCTCAGTACTGGATACACAGAAGATAGACAGCAATACAAATACTTTGGGAAGAAAAAATGCTCCTTCTGAAAAGCAGTGTTGTCACCCTATGCTGCTCTCTCAATTTGGGTTTGAACCTACAAACACCTCTATCTTCATAAGATAGGGGGATGTGTTCTTTAGTTCCCAGAGGTAATTGGAAAGGCTAATATCCTTGTTTAATCCATCTAAGGACTGGTAAGCTGCAATACATTACATTTTTGTACTTGAATTTAGATATACTTTAAGTCCATTTGATACGGATTGTAGGAATCCATATCAAAATATCAGTTTCTCTCAAGAAGTTCAGAAGAGTAATTCACAGACTGCAAGCAAGATGCCAGTGAAGAAGTACAGGACCGCCTATCTACAGTTAAATACTTGAGCACTGTTCAAACCATCACCACATAAATGGCCAAACCATGCTGAAAAGTATACCATGATGAAAGACTGTTTTTCTTTTAATTTTTGCTGAACTCTTAAAATCATGTAGATGTTAACAGTTTACCACTTTCTGTGAATAAAAAAACTGAAGCCCCCAGTCTTATTAGAAGAGCAGGTCAGATATGAAAGAGGTCATGAGAAATATATACTTTCTTTAAATTGAATAAAAAAAAGGAAAGTTCCACCATATAATGTATTGGAATGCCTCATTTAACACGGAACAAATGCATTTTTATGAGTGTCTTGCAAAAGCATTAGAGTGAATGAATGTCTCAGTGAGTATTAAAGTGATTGTCAGAAGAGGGCCCAGGTCCAGTTCCTTACAATGCTTGCTTAGTAAATGATTGCATTCATTTTGTCTTTATGAACCAGAAGCACGCGTCAAAAATGCAAATAGCTCAGTAAAAGAAACAAACAGTTTTCTGTAAATAGATTTTTTTTTGGACTCTGTCAACTTCTGTAGAAGTATAAAAAACACAAATCGTACGAACAGCGCTCTTGGAATGATCTTGGGGAGGTGGATAGTGTGACCCTAAATAGTTCTGGTTTTCTGTAGAAGTATGCGATACCCACATTTCAAACAAAATATAACATAACATAAAAGTTGAGATCTTAACAGTATCTAGAACATGAAAAAAATATACATAATATGTATAAAGGTTTTTTGTAAGAGATCAGTTTCACTGTAGAGTGTAGTATAATTTGTATGTTGTATCTGTATTCATTCAGATATTTTATTAGAGATCACTGTCCTCGTACAGTACCACTCTCCTCAAAAAGTTGAAATGTATTCCATAAAATGCATCAGAAAACATGTGGCCAGAAAGTAACAGTCTATAAGACTCCTAGGAAACACTGGTAATGACGGGATATAGAATATTAGACAGACTGATCTCTTTCATGTTACAAATAGCACTATGCATATGGGAAACTGTTTTTAATATGATGTCAATATCTTTATTCAATAAAATGTAACCAATCATGTTTTATGATATATAGCTTGTGTTAAAATCACAGCTCTTACATTATGAAGAATATTTTGTATGCAAGTAGGAAATGCTACTGATTTGGATCCGTGACAATGAAACAAATGTCTTATTTACTAACGGTCATTATATAAATACTATGCATGAGAAAAACTATTTTTCTTTGGAGTAGTTTTTATAAATCGACAGTCGGCTCTACAAGTTTAAACAGAGTCCCGGCGGCAAAAGTCGCCGGGAGTCTGTTTAAACAGCCCCGATGCTGGCGACGTACACTGTACGTCGTCAGTCACGAAGGGGTTAAAGAGTTACAATCCTGCGATGTTCAAATAAAACAATCATTTTACAACACCAAACAATGCAAGTCAATATCTATGCTTGACTGCTCCTATGAGCACTGCTTTCATTCAATGATAAACTGCATGAAATTGATTTGTTCAAGTGCACAAGTGATGTTCGGACGGGGCACAATAATGCCTCTTAACATCAATTTCTAAATTGTATGCTTTAATGGGTAGTATTATAAAGGATTTTTCAAGGTATAAATATCACAAGAAAAATTTGAACTGACAGTATTTGACAGCTATTGGGGAGTTGTGTCATTTAGTATATTGATAAGCTGATTTGCAGGTAACAATCAAAAACATCAAGGGAGCAGCAAAAAATAGTGACAGAGTGGCACGCATGGACAATTTGCAAAGAGAATTATGTAACTATGTATATAGAACATCTGTACTTTAGATGTAAATATAGCCATACCAGAAAATCATCCTCTGGAAGGGCTGAAATGAATGCTGGCTCGATTGCTTGAAGATAGTCAAATCCTTGAGTTGCCCACCTGCAGGAAAGAAGAAAGATGGCCACAAACTCTGAGTGTTGTATATACAACATAAATATTTACACATATGGATACAGCAGCTCAATGCTGAACCTGTGTGATTGTTTTGATTTTCAATCTTCCTACTCCTGTGGTTAATATGAATAACCCCCACACTCGTAGACAATAGCTGCATCATTTGTCCCAAATGGATAAATACCTGCGTCTACTGGTAACATAAAATTGGGTACAAACCTAGTTGTTTGGCTGGGTTTTTTCAACAATTTAATGATACAATTAAACTCAACCATCACAATTTTGCACTGATTTAATGTGCCTTGCCGTCAGTCATTTTTTCGACATTCTGCTCACCTGAATGCCTTAGTTACTAAATCCCTATGTCTGGTGGTATAGTCTTCTTCTAAAAGTTTCTATGAAAACTCTGGTGGATATATTGGGCAGTTCAAATGCTTCCTTCCTGAGCCCAGCAAAATATTCTCCACACAGTGAGCCATTAGAGGAAGGATGCACAGCATGTAATTTGACAAATATGACAAAAAACTGCCACACTCACAAGCCATCCGAGAAGCCTAACAATATGGCTGCATTAGACAGTCTCAGCTTAAAGCTGAATTTCAGACAAAACTTTTTTTATTCACAGAAAAAACGTCAGGTCACTAACTGCAAGCTTCGCTGAACAGTTTATTGTAGCGCACAGGTACACATTGTCCCACCGTGGATCCTCCTCACTCTGACATGTTTCACCCAATAATGCGCTATGAACAAAAGCACCTTACTTTAGGAATCTGGAACACTTTAATCACTATTAGATCAATTGATAACTTACCTTGGTCTGGTACCACGACCACTTTCGCATTTCGTCAAAACATAGTTCATCCATTTTCTGGCAAAGCTTATGTATTTGTCACCAATTTTCTGCCTGAATTCCCCAGACATCAGACGGACTACTTCTTTATGATACTTGAATGGAAAAAAAATGTTTACTTCAGGAATTTTGAACAATAAAAAACCCTTCATTTTCAGACTTCCCTGAGAACTTCTGAAGTCGTAATTCTGCACCTTTAGAAAGTCACCTAGCAGCTTTATTCTCCGAGCTGAGCAATGTCTACAAGATGCTGCCATTCATTCAAGAGGACACAATTACATCACCAGACAGAAAACTGGTATAATATAGTACCATACAGATACATTTTGATGACCACTGCCGTCGGGACTTTGTTTAACCTTGTAAAGATGACTGTCGGCTTTAAAGTAGAAGTGATTCTGGCCGCTCAGCTGTCGCCAGATCACATCTATGGGCCGGTGAACGGGGCCCCCGCCATGTTTCCTGGGCTCCGTTGCCCCGTTCTATGAGACCGGGAGCGATGCAGATTGCACCACTTCCGGCCCCATAGCTGTCAGTGCTGGGCGTCTGAAGCCCAGTTATAAGCTATAAGTTATAAGCAGTTATAAGTGCGATCTGCCTTCAATAGCTTATTTAGAGTGTAGAGGTGACACTGGGGGTCTTTTGGACCCGCAGCATCACCTTAAAGAGTACCTGTCACCACCATCTGCTATCACATAGCAATTAAAGTAAAAAAAAAAAAAAAGCTGTTAAAATTAAAATTAAATAAATTAAATGTAAAAATAATAAAAACTTTTTTAAAGTTCCCCGCGAGCATGCGCATCTTCACATGAGCACGCTTCGGGTGCGTCTACGTATGAAAACAAACGTGCTAGACATGTTGGAATTGCCGCGACGTCGGAGTGAGAGCAATAATTCTAGGGCATCTCTAAACTGATGACCTGTGGGGGCTTTTAAAGCGTAGTCTATGGACTTTTTGGGGTACTGAAGTTTGTCGCCGTTTCACGGGCGCACACAATTTTTAACCTGGGCATGTTGGGTATCTATTTACTCATTGTAACCTCATCTCTTATATTTTATTTTAAAAAATTGTATTTTATTGTGTTTTGGGGCATTTAAGTGAATTTGCCACTAAATTTTGTGGTTTGATAAGGAGATGCGCTAATATCGTGCAACGTAACAATTTGCAACTGCTACCATTTTATTCTACAGGGTCTTGGCTTTCAGAAAATATATAATGTTTGGGGGTTTTAAGTAATTTTCATGTCTAAAATGTGGAATATAACATGGGTGCAAAAAAATGAAGGCCTCAGTCATGAAGGGGTTAATGTCAGTGCAATCAAAACGGGGTGGGAAGCTGACACAAACAACATTAACAGACTTAATTGTCGCAAATCCAAATGTGGATGTTATCATGCAGATTGTTAAGCAGATGTAGTAGTGTCTGTGTGGTCCTTGACAATTAAATGCTTACTTGCTAAGCTCAGTGGGCTTAGATGCTTCTGTAGATGGGCTTTGTTTTACTGTGTTTGAAGCTTGTTTTAATAGATTTTCATTCACTTTACAGCCAATTCACAAAGCACAGTGTTTTGAGAGTACAAGTTTATTTATCTGTTCTTATTTTATCACTCTTTATTTTGCTGGCTGAAACATGCAGTTCACAAAAGCTGAAATTGATTTCTGCATACTCAGTTTAATGTGTCATATGTGTGCGTTAAGCAAGCGTTATTTAAACATCACAGACTTTATTTTATCGATTACTGGGATAAACTAACGGTTTGTGGATTATTGTAACACTGTTTCAGTGTATTTTGGTAGCAGAAGAGGTGGATCAGATCCTCTGTAGATTACCGATTTACTTTCACCACATAAAATAAATATCTTGGCCACTTTCATATTAATTTTTAAATTTAGAAGAGAAAGAATCATTCACGAAATAGCAATATCAGTTTTTGTGAACAGAATAAGTTAATATGAATTATTAGGTGGATTTGTTTTTATGTCTGTCAATGATCAGACATCGTCAGTGTAGGGAGGGGCAAAATCCAGCACTACTGGAATGTGCAGTTGGAGGAGCAAAAAAGTACAAATAAGTGTGCATGGAGCTGGGCTTTAATAAGGCCCCGTTCACATGTAGCCGACTTATCGCGCGATTTCCGCCGCGATATCGCGCATTTTTGCCGCGCGATATCGCGAGGAGTCGCCGGCTAATGATAGTCAATGGAGCAATCTTAGCTCCATGTCGCTCGTCGCGGTCGCAAGTCGCTTCTACCGGACCCTTTTTTTGGCGGATTTTCCTTTTTTTCTATGGAGCCCCACGGAGAAGGTCGCGCTACCGTCGCTGGAACGTCGCCCCGAAAGTCGCGCTATCCTGGCCGCTGCAATGGTATGTCGCTACATGTGAACGGGGTCTCAAGTGCATATACAGCAGATACAGTGGAAAAGGGTTACAACCAATGTTGTAATAGGTTTTTTACAGTTATCCAGGGCTTCAGTAGAAAGATTTTCTCCCACTTCCTGTCCCCTTGACAACATTTTACCGGACAGGAAATGGGGGATCTCTTTAACAGTAACACATATACACTGAGTGGCCAGATTATTATGACCACCTGACGTTTGCAGGCAAATTAGCTATAATTTCGCGCTGAAGTTGCTAGAGGGCCAGACCATTATAAATAGGGAAGCAGGTTGTTTACCACGATAGTAGAAGTGATTTTTTTCTGAAGATATGGGTAAACAACGCGATTTAACAGCCTTTGAACGTGGGATGATTGTTGGCGCTCGAAGCCGTGGAGCGAGTATCCGCAAAACTGCAGAATTTGTTAAATGTTCAAGAGCAGCTGTTGTTAAAGTGTTTAAAGACTGGACTGGCAGCCAAAAATCTTATTTTATATTTTGTTACATGTTCCCATTCACATGGCATATGCATAAATGCTTCTTGCAGTTTAAATTGTTTACTCGGGTTAGGGTTTCAAAGGTGAAAATGTTTTTGCTTCTATTTCTTTGACATGTTAAGAGGGGCTGTGAGGGGTCCATTGAGAGGTGGCATGCCTATTGTATGTTGATGAAGCATATCAAATAAACACAATCCTCAAAATTTCAGTCTTTGGGACAGACCACTAAGAAAAACCTGGAATCAGCCATTTAGCCAGATTTAACAAAACATCTAAAAAAGGTAAGATTTTTTTCCCCCCAGTATGCTGTGTGAATAGGAACACATACAGAACATATGGAGGGGTTTTCCTAAATTTGACTGCAAAAGTAGAAATACACTTTAAGTAATATACAGTATGTCTTATCAGGACAGTAGAAGAAATCAGTTGTCACTAAAAGATAGAAGACTTTACCTCAAAACCAAAGTTGTAGCCTTGAATCATTGCTTCTCTGTAGTACTGCTGTAATGTGGAGGATTCTGATTCATCCACCTCAGCTTCGAACTCTGAGCTGTACATCTGATCCACTCGATCTATGGCACTGCTTATCTTGTTGCAAAGCTGCAATGCATCACTCTAAAATGAAATAAATTTCAGCATTATTATTTTCTGACCAAATCTACTTTTTGGTTATACGGCATGGAAAATATTCAGCTAATGTTTTATACTTCAGCAACAAAAATTGCAGATGAAGTAAAACATCAAAATAAGTGTTACATACATTGCAAAATAATGTGACAAAAATGTAATAATACAAAATAGAGATGTATTAAAACATATTTAAACACCCTTTCTTTCTAACACCTTACAGGTTTCTGAAATCTTTTCTAAGACAGCAATAACTTTACGCTTCCCTTTACACTGTAAGATTTCTCTTGGTTAGCCCTGAGGCTGAATAAGAAAATCACTTGATTCCCCCATCCACTCTAGAGAGCGCAGATGTAGGCATCTCCCCTGCCAGCTACTGTATACAGAAAGCCAGTGCCCACGGGTGTCAGAATATCAGCCAATCAGCTGCAGTCAGTGTTCGGCTGACAATTTTCCAACTGGCTCCTTTGACAAAAGTCAATTGAAAAATCAACTTTTGTTGAGCTGAGTGATGCTGGCAGGGCCACCTGTGCTAAAATCGGTCAAAATTCGATCTGTGTACGGCCAGGCAATAAAATGCATCTCTGTTGCTATTAGGAGACGTTGAGATTCTCTCCAACTGCTAAATAAAACCCTTCATTATTCCTGCAAATCACATGTATGCTTGTTTTCCTAAATGTTAAACAAAAATGTCATTTTCCCCCCATGACATACAGTAAAGTCACTCATTTTGAGTCTCTGGTACTTGTTAAAAAAAGTGGATATTAGAGTTACAAGAGTAAACAATAATTTTGTGGGTTACATGTGAGCAGGGTCTTGTGCCAATACATAAAGGTCATGTAATTTTGATTTTTACCTTGAGTTGATGCAAAGCTTTTGCAATCACAGGGTGACTGGATGTCTGTTCAAGCCTTAGAGATAAGATATCCTCAACAGATTGCTGGAAAGCCTTTCTATGGCTCGTTAAGATGGAAGACTGCATCACCACAAGCAACAGATTGTCAACCTTAGGGGGGACAAGACAAAACAATTCACATATACATTCTGCCAACAAAGAATACTCCTCCATTGATATACTTTAACTTCACATTATGTCAATAATTGTTGTCTAATTATGCTATATCATTTTACTACTCTTTAAGATTTGACGGAGTAGTGGAAAAAATAAAGGTGTTATCTAGGGGTATTTCCACTGCAGCCTGTGTCCACAATAAAGTAATTTCCACCCACTTCTTGTCTTGGTGACTACCCAATAGGTACGAAGAAATAAAAACTGACACAAGAATCTAACACTTCTACATTCTATTAAAAACAAGCAAAAGTCTGTCAGCAGTTTTCTTTTAATATAAGCCCATTGATTACAGTGTTACTTATGGAGGGGTAGACGTGAAAGTCATGGAGTGCATTTTTAGGTGCTCATTCACACATTTTCTAGGAACTTTTTATATCATTGCACCACAAAAAATTACTGTATGCTGCTTTTTTGTGTGTTTAACAGAATCCTTGCAATGTTTTGCATGTTTTTACTGCAATTATATCAAAGACATTTTCCTCCCCCACTGTCTCAAAAAGCACAAAACGTTATTTAAATGGATACGTGCCCATTACACGATGCACATAGGTTCAAAAGGGTACTAAATGTATAAAATTGAGTGAGTAGTGTATTGCACGATTCACAGAAATCCTTTTGGCACATAAAGCAGTTAAAATGCTATTGTTAAGTAAACAAGAGTATACCATAAGTGTAACATTTGGTCTCGTCGCACATAGTTTACATTTTTCCTGGTCAAGAAGCAGATGAGGAAGAATATGCTTTTATATAGAAACATACCTGCATACTCCTCAAAGTATCTGCAGTTTCTACTGGCGGCACTATTTTTACTGTCTGTCCTTCCCAAGAACTCCAAACATCTTCCACATCTTGGTCCTTCTCAGAGTGCTTGGTCATCAGAAGGTAGGCTTCATATGCCACATCTTCGCAGTCTTTAGAGCAGTCTATACCAGCTGCAGCATTCAGCAATTGTAAAATAACCGATTTTGCTCTAGAAAGGCTACTTCGCACAAACACATGCAGATTCTCAAGAGTAGGAATAATGACCTGATGAAAAAGGACATAAAAAGTTAGAGAAAATATATTCCAACCTCCAGACCATAGCATTATTACAGTCTCATTAACCTTAACAGACGTGAGCTTTTATCAGGGAAAAGGTAACCTGGCTGAGACAGAGCATTATACTTTAGTCCTATGCAAATATGCAACATAGGTTTCAAAATCAAACATGAAAATGTCACATTTAAATAGATTCAAATTGAAAGAAGAATTCTTAACAGTGAATCAAATTTTCATTACAGCATTAATTTTGGCCAGCAGGCTTCCATAGTACACCCACATAGAAACACACAGATTGGCCGGCAACGCTGAAGCTGGGACTGAGGCGAGGTTACATCTACAGACAGAGTCGATATTTATGTGATGTTTCAAGTTTTTATGCGAGTAGTATTTCTTTAATAAAGTTTTAAGATTTCAACATATAGAGACTATGGAGTTTCTATTTTATTTGTGACATGTACAGCGGAGTTTAACAAGAAGCCTGCTGTGAAGTGGGTAGTTAGCAGCGGTTGATGCTCTTGATTGATGAACGCTGTTGAAGGGAAGGTGAATCGGTGTTCACTGTGGCTGTTATTGAAGGGTTTCCTCCTGCCTAGAAAGGGGAGTGGTGCTCTAAATACCTCATATATGGGTCTTATAACAAAGTCAGCAGCATTCTTAAAGATCAATGTGGTGGAGGTCACTGTGACTGGAACACAACGGCACATTGTGGATGGACTTTCACTTTCGAATTTATAAAGAACTTGTTCACTTGATCATTAGCATAATATATTTTATCATCACATGGTATATATCTGTTTATGTTGGATTCACTATTTATTTTAATCTATTTATTGTTACACTGTTTATTTGGCACTAAATGCATGTGATCCAACTTATCTTTATTTATATTTAACATTGTTGGTTTTTCTTGGATAGACACGTTACTTGAGGTTTTTACTTTTTGATTGTTAACCGCTTGCCGTCCACCTGTTTTTTTACAGCTGCTACCGGCTGTTTCACATACAACCGATCAGCGGCTCCATAGCCTGCCGATCGGTTGTATGTTGCGATTTGATGCCCCAGCGCGCAAAAAAACGACAATTGCACTACACACGTTACATATCGCCACGAACGTCGGAGTGAGAGCAATAATTTTAGGGCCATCAACCACCGATAACACTAAACTGATGATCGGTAAAAGCGTCACCTATGGCCAATTTTGGGTAATGTAGTTTGAGGTTTCGCGTGCGTGCGCAATTTTAAGGTTTGACAAGTTTTTTACCCGACATGACCCCGCCTTTTATATTTTACCAAAAAATTGGGTAATAATAATTTTTAAAAAAATTTAATATAGGGGAAAGAGTTTTTTGTTTTTTTTTTATTTTCTGTAATTTTTCCTTAATATAGTAAAACAGAAAACCTGCAGTGGTGATTAAATACCACCAAAAGTCTATCTGTCCCCAAAAAGTGGTATAAAATTCATTTCAGTACAGCATTGCATGACGGAATAAATGTCAGTCAAAGTACCACAGCGCTAAATACTGAAAAATGGTCTGGACAGGAAGAGGGTGTAAACACCGCGGACTTCAAGTGGTTAAAGCGCGGCACATTGCATCAATATTGTTATTTCAGATGCATTGCCCAGTACTGTAATAGTGCGCTAGGCTGACATTCAAAATTAATGGTACCTAAATGCACTGTGGATCATGTCATACTGTACCACATAGGTGTGACTGAACACTAAGCGCTATAACCCTCTGCATGCCCACAATCTGCTTTGCAAATGTATGTTGTTATTATTTTTAAAAATATTTATGTCTAATGTGTAATTTAATAATAATCTTACGCTCACAAAGAAGCAATGCTTGCTCACTCGCGCAGCTTTTAAAGTGACACTAAACTAAGTTAAATCTTAAAAATACATTCAAGTACCTTAACTATTAACAAAATGTATCTTATTAGTGTATCGGTCAGCTGTATATCCTCAAATCATCTCTGAATTTATGTTGACACTGTCCTTCCTTTGGGAGAGTGGCTACTTTTGTTCCCCATGATGATGTGTGTTGTAAAGTAGCCACCACCCCAAGCTCACTCCTGTGATGGACTACAATCTCATCTTTAGTTTACTAATTTGTAATTAAGTTGTAGTCCATCACAGGAGTGAGCTTGGAGTCGTTGCTACTTTACAACACACGGAGGGACCATGGGGAGCAAAAGTAGCCACCCTCCAGAAGGAAGGACAGTGTCAGCATCAATTCAGAGATGATTTGAGGATCTACAGCTGAGTGATACATAAATAAGATACATTTTAGTTAATAGATAAGACACTTGAATGTAATTTAAAGATTTAACTCCTGAGCTTAGTGTCACTTTTATGACTTGAAACAAGTAAAATACTATGAGGGGAATTTATCAAAACTGGAGCAACTGTGCACAGCAACCAATCAGCTTCTCTCTTTCATTTTCAAATCTTAACTGAACAAACTGAAGAGAGAATCTGATAGGTTGCCTTGGGCAACTGCTAACTATGTAACTGAACAAACTGAAGAGAGAAGCTGATAGGTTGCCTTGGGCAACTGCTCCAGATTTTGTCGCTCCAGTTTGGATAAATTCCCATCCATGTGTTTCTGACAATTCATGGCAAGAAAATCATTTTACTAATGCTCCCTAATGGAGACAACAGTTCAACAACTATCTCAGTTTGTTTTTGTTCATTTGGCGATTCCCAATCACTTTCTGATGCGTCTTTAAGCTAAACCCTGGGACAAAATGATCATTTACACACCTAACTGGGTGTGCAAATAACTATTAAAAAGCTGTATGTTATATTCGGAGGTCTGCTGCAAAGTATAAAAATCTCACTTTGCAGCATGCCAGCTCCTACTCATAACACTGTTTTTCTGGGTGCTGTGGGGAGTGAGGGATGCAACTCAAACAGTGAAATGGTCCAGTTGCATCCCCTCCCCTTCTCACTACCTGTCAATTTACAAAATGTCTAGTATTTTTCTCAAGGAACACAAGGCATTCTGCGATTGCAGGTGGAGAGGAGGGGTTGGGGATGTGACATAACCTCCCCTCCTCCAATCACAATAAGATTTTTATATTTCTAGAAACATACAAGGAATTTTGTGAATGGGCAAATAGTGAGGAGGGGAGAGATGACACATTTTTGAGAAAATAGCCTAAACACTGGGGCACCTAGTTGTCAACATTTGCCAATGTAATTTATGCTACTACTAGGTATAAAGACCAAATCTAAATAAACCAACAATAAGTGATATAGTGAAACTTTACTACCTTTGCATAATTCTTTGTGCTTAAGTACGTTACTAGGTCTCGTACAGGTGCAGAAAAAGTGAATTCGGCAGAAATTTCCAAGTCCTGAAAAAGACAAATAAAATTTAGAATGGAGTGGCCACAAATCACACAAACCAACAAATATAAAATATATATATTATTTTATACAAAACCAGCTTCACTTATTTAGACATCAATTCATCTAGATTGTGAAACCTGCCTGGCCCTAAATTCAGTGAATTTAAAACCGTTATAGATTAGTTTAAAATCTGGTTAGTGTATGACTATTCATTTGGAGCACTCATTAAGCCTTTAAGTCCAAGGAAGGGTTAATACATTAAATAGCGTGAGAAACATTATACTGCTCTACTAGGTTTGATTAAAAAAAAAACAAAAACACAGTAGATGATGTTCAATCATCACTTTCAAACCCGGCTTATGTTAACTCTGTATACCTAATTATGTGCAAGGGAAATTAAACAAAAGAGGATTTTAGTACTCAAAATCCTTTTCTCAGAGTCCATTGAGGGACACAACTTTGATAATAAGCAACCTAGGGTTGTACTGTCACCTACAGGAGAAATGGACACTAGGTACATAGAAAGCTAAAGGCTCCCTTGAGGTTATAATCCCTACCACCTCACACTTGCTCAGTTGTAGCAAGCAGTCCAAAGATAAAATAATAGCATATGAGGGGAGGGAGTCAAAGAAAAAGATTTTATAGCGAGTACATGATTATAACAGGCAACTTAGGAACGTCCAAATGCAGTAAAAACTGAGAGCCAGGCACACCTAAAGAACACAGGCAAACCAGACCAACAGGATAAAACCTTAAACAACCTTTGCAAGCTTGGAGCGGTTACTACTTTATAACACATACAGAAGGAAGGACAGTGTCAGGACCAATTCAGAGATGATTTGAGGATTTACAGCTGAGTGATACACAAATAAGATACATTTGTGTTACTAGCTAAGGTACGTGAATGCATTTTTAAGGTTTAGCTCCTGAGTTTAGTGTCACTTTAAATGTCAAATAACACAAAGCAAACACCTCCATTAGCCACTCACAACAAGTCTTCCTGTTCTAACTAGAACACAGACAGGTTACGACTGCTGACTGCAGGACCGTAGCAAAATGAACACCAGTATACTTAATGAACGGGGAAAACCTGTGCTTGTTGGCTAACTGGAGAGAATTCCAGGATTCTCAATGTCCAGTCTGAATATACAAGCAGCGGTGTATAGTAGAGAAATCTTCTAATTTAAGCAAAATATAGCAGAAAGGAAGGAGACATCCATTTCCCTAAGGATACTAAGTGTAACTGAGCAGGTGTTAGGTTTTATAGCCTCAAGGTAGCTGGCCTCCAGTTTTCGTTGTGCTACTATTCATTTCTCTGTAGGCGGCAGTATAACCCTAGGTTGCCTTCATCATCAAAGCTGTGTCTTTTAATGGGTGACAGGTAAAATATGATTTTTGCTAGGACATAATTTGCTGATTGAAGTGAACACAGTGCAATATTCATATTCATCTTGTTCACTAACCTCAGTAAACACAAAGTTAACAGTCTCTATACCTTTAGTAAATCAATCCCATTGCTTGTACTTGGTATGAAGACATGCACACACATATCAAATTTATCTTAGTATTTGTTTTAGGCAATGATGCTAATAATGATGATGCAAATAATGATGATGCAATAATGCAGAATGCCCAACGATAAGAATGAAGAGAGGTTGTTAACGCTCAGGTTTGCCATTTCTATCCAGCTCAATTATAATAAAAAAGGACTCATGATGTAGATAACAGGATATGGATATGATGTTCATCTTCTAAGCTGTCCATAAATTAATTTATACCGCCACCACTAGCAGAACCCACTGAGCTTAATCATGTGTAAAAACTTAACTAACAGCGAGGAAAAAAACATTTCAATTTGAATAAATGCAATACCTTTCTTAACATTTTAGCAAATCCAAGTGCTTTGGATGCTCTTTCTCTAGCTTCATGAAAAAGTTCCTTCAAGGCTCTGCTGGTTTCAATAACTGATCTCCTGTAGAAGTTACACATACAAAATTAGAACTGTGGCATTAAAGATGAACTCCAGTCCTATCTTCAGTCTTGCACAGTTGTAAAGGCTCTTCTCTACTGAAATTGGTTACTCGAAATTTACTGCACACTGAGTTTCTCAAAGTGGGCATAAGAAGCTGCATCAATCAGACAGAGCCTGACTGTCCCTGGCCCGCCCCTTACATTTAATGGATTTCAGTTCAGCCTAGGAACACCGACTCCTGACTGACATTCACCTATCAAGGCATTTTGATATTTGCATAGCACCTATCAAGAGCCAGCCCACAGTAGGCATTAGGGCTAAGATCTAATGAAAATAGTACTGAGATATGATGCTGCGGTGTCCTCAAGAAGCCATGTACTGCAACCAACCCCACCCCATTATCAGTACAACTGTGCAATAATTTCCCCATGTTTTGCCTTGATGCATGTAAACAAAAATGCTATTTGATCCTGTAATTAGGCCAGTAAGCTTCTGAAGTCTTGTGCACGCTGCTGATCTGAAATCCAAAGCAGTCCCCTATGATATGGAGATGAACAGGTTAAGTTCTGTAGTCCTAACACACTTCCTTTCCTACAGTGACAACGCTGCTCCTTCACAGATAAAGTACGTTGTAAGCCTAGGGAAGGAAGTATTTACTGGCAGGATCACCAAGTCAAAATAAATTAAAATAAGCCTAAAAAAAGGAAACCATTGCAGCCGTACACTTTAAAGCATATCTAAACCTAACAAGAAAAAGTTACTATATTGCAGCTTACTAGTCCATATATATGGTGTCTACATTTGTTATATTGCCAAGATTTTTTTCCTATTTCGTCTTTGCAATTCTGCCAGTAACACTTCCTAACCTAGGGTGACAACACTTACTCTTCCTACTTTATCAGGCAACAGAAACAGAACTACAGAAATCACCCCTTGTTCAACTGGTATAGTATGTTAGCATTTCTTCTCAATACCAATTGACTACGGCTAGCTTAACCCTTTTTTGCCAACAAAACATATATGCTATATATATATATATATATTTCATTGACTTACACAGAAGATGTTATGTTTATGTATCCCTAACACATTAGATGGTATGCCTATGTAGCCCTTTTCATACATATCAACTGTCTAGTTATTATTGGAAGGCAGCTGTGACTTATGCAGCCCAACATAAAGTAGCAAAAAAAACAATTTAAAAGAACGTTCTTCAGGTATAATTTCAGGTTAGGTTTCCGCATGCAGTACTAAAGAGCAGCAACTATACATTTGTTTTTAATGTTCTTTATAAGCACTCTAAAATTAATGCTTACTTGTTGACAAGCATCTCTGGAACTGGAGAATACAAATTAGCAGGTCAACAAATTGCTGAATTCAGTCTAATAAAAATATCTACTTTCATACAAATACAAGTAACGTTTCTCATTACCATAGAAACAAACGCCTTGTTGCCTTATTAGGGCAACAGTGTAATGTGTTACATAAGAAACACTCTTCATGCCAAGATTACCTTATTTCATCAGAGACAATGCTATCATCGGTGCTGGCCCAGAATTCATCACAGCTGTCCTGTAGGCCAGAGTCCAGAAACTTCCCAGTAGATTTCAGCAGCATTCCTGCAATATCACTAGAACACAAATTTTCAAATTTCACTCTACTCATACATTATTATATACTAACTATATTTTTTTTAAACTTTTAAATCTGAAAATACTATACTGAATAGTTCAAATATTAAACAACCTCTACTTTGTTAGAAGAAGGAGTTCTGCCTTCCATGCTCTACAAAGAATGTCTCCAAATTAAAATATTCTTTCAGAGGACTCTTCACAATAACACCACTATAGTTGTTTAAGAAGCCCAGAGCGATGAACTATTCAAAGATATCCAACCGATAAGCTGATTACTTCTATAACAAGAAAGTTGGACCACTTATTTGATTCCCACATGGGTTTTGGAAACAAATATAGTGCTTTTAAATACATTCAAGTACCCCATTAACAAAAATGTACCTTATCTGTGTATCACTCAGCTGTAGATCCTAAAATCATTTCTGAATTATTTGTAAAAAAATAAATCAAGGCAACTGGACTTGCTGTATTTTTCTTAAAGATGTTTCGCTGGTCATCTGCCTAGCTTTCTCTGAGAAAAGGTAGCTGGATGACCATGTGGATTAATTTTTTTACGGATATAACATGACCTGGATGAATGAGAACCTTCTCGGACACATCTCTGAATTAGTGCTGACACTGTCCTTCCTTCTGGAGTGTGGCTACTTTTGTTCCACGTGGTCCCTGTGTGTGTTGTAAAGTAGTCACCACTCCAAGCTCACTCCTGTGATGTACTACAATCTCACGTTTAGTTTACTAATTTGTTTTGAGATCGTAGTCCGTCACGGGAGCGATCTTGGAGCGGTGGCTACTTTACAACACACACAGGGACCATGGAGAACAAATGTAGCCACCCTCCAGAAGGAAGGACAGTGCCAGTACTAATTCCAAATGATTTGCAGCTCTGGATCTACAGCTAAGTGATATATAAATAAGATACATTTTTGTTAATAGTTAAGGTACTTGAATGCATTTTTAAGGTTTAACACCTTGAGTTGTCACTGAGTTGAGTTGTAAAAAAAAACTATTTTATTTTTCAATGTACAGGATGCCAGGGTGATCACAGGCTGGAGATTTTTTCGGCTTAAGCTACTAAGCTCTGTAAACAGCAGAATTTTTAACTAAACAGGTGGTAAGGAGAAACTGGAAAATGTGAAATGAAGCAGAAACATAACCAGCTGGCTGCATATGAATATCCAATATATTAAACATTTCACATTTACCTGAAAATTTTTATAAAATTAAAATTCTAGTCATGTTCTCTATAAATAAATCAAATACAGAACCAATATATATTCATTTTAAACAACTGTATTCTGTACGTACTTATGAGATCATGTATACAAAATGGCTACATAAAACCTGTTCATACCAGAAAAGTTTCCCAGCCTGAGCTTCTCCTCCTCGTATGTAAGGGGTAATTTCTTTGGTGAAATTCCATTCTTCTTCTAGAAGGTTTTTCAGGCTGTGAGAAGCTTGAGGTAACTGCTGCAACATCTGGATCCAACTACGCATGTAGTCAAAGTACACCTAGCGGAAAAAATATATAAAAATGTAGTTACAATTTTCAGGAAACCAATGTACATATGAAAAAAAATTATACTAAAAACATTTAAAACCACATTCGTAATCTATACTGTACCTTAACAACAACAAAAATGCTAGGTGTTCACCTATTTACATCACAATGTACATGCCAATACAAAACAGCCTGAATTAAAACTTTAACACTGAATTGAAGACCAAAGCATATAATGACCTGCAGTTTTCTTCACCCTATGACACTTTAAGGCGTGTTACAGGCCCTGCACTAGCCATGCCATCCCATGTGTCCCATTAGAAGACTATATCATTGTACAAATCTTAATTATAAAAATCATGGTATAAACTGCCTAGAAAACCCAGAATGTCTGACTGCTGTCTGTGAAGCTGCCCTGTGACAGGATGGAAATGCTTGTGTTTTCTCTGTGTTGAGCATCGGAACCCTCTGCGGTCACTGATCCTGGGTAGGCACTCTGCCACACACTGGGAGCTTACAAGGCAGCAGACATTAACCTTGGGGACATCATGGCCAGTATAAGGCCTACTACAAAAAGCCTATGACACTCCTAAAAGTGTCCTGGGGTGAAGAAGGGAAGACTACAGGGATATCACTAACAAAATGCAGAAAAAATTGCTCTAGCAAAGGGCATTCATCAGCAAGTGGGAATTTCAAACATTTTAAAAGGCATTGTCCAACTTTTGTAAAACAAAAATAAAAAGTGCATTCATTCATTTTTGGCAGTGGAGCCTGCAAAACATAGCAACCGCGATCAGTGGAATGCAGGAGCAATGCTCAGGCTCCTACATATGCTTCCTACCAGTCACTGTCTGTACCAAAGTACAGGACGGGAGAGGATCTGTGAACGGAGGACACAGCTGCACGTGGGAAGCCACGCACAGTCACGCCAAATGCAAAAGATGCCTGGATGCTGCTGGGAGAACAAGTGTGCAGACAACCCGACTTTACTTGCTGCATGCTTGTTTCAGGTCAAAGACAAAGTATTAAAAGGCAAACAGCCAGACAACTAGCATATTCAGAACAAGGTCAGCAGTCAACGTCTACACTTTTCTCTGAGTACAGCATTGCTTAAAGATATAAAACAATGCAGCATGTGCGCAGACGTACAAAGTCAAGCACCAAAGTATCACCATAGGAGTTCCTGAGGGGCAAAAAACATTTCAATGATTCAACTTACACCACCAGTTATACTGCAAACAAATATAAGAATAATGCAATCAGTAACAATCAAGACAACGCAGTAACAGCTGCAACCAAGATAAGTTACTAAAGAAAGGATATGCGGTGTTCTAATTATATCCTCCAGAGGAAGTCACTTACATTTTGTATAATCTAATCAGAAGTACGTGTCAAAGTGGGATCAGATTTTAGTCTAGAAGATACATTTACATGTATTCTTTAGTGCCATGAATACCTCGATTTACATATGTAAAAAAGTATTTCTCCTGGGTGTGTGCACCAAAAGAATAATGCACAATGGCTGTTTTAAATACAAAAGGCCCCTAATTGCTATGGAAAGAAAAAATATACTCAGGAAGTGTTTTTTTCCCCCCTCAGTGTAACAGGACACTAGTCGCGCAGATGGTATTATTTCTTTAAGTACATACCAATTGCCCTATATAAGAAATCATTTTTTTAAGGATGCTGTTAAATGGTATGAACCTTGACACATTTTAATTTTTAAACTATAGCTAACAATTTTTTTTAAGGGATATTGATAAATGTTTTTAAATATTGGATCAGCTGTGACAGGTGGATCAGGTGACTGCGCTGGCCAATGAGCACTTGCAATTTGTGAGCGAAATTCAAAATCCGTAGCGCAGGCCTGCCCTGGACTACAATCTAGCACACAGTGGAATGGGGGCAGACTAAGTGAACATACACACAATGCCCTGTGTGTGTGTTTATTCGCATGCAAATGGCAGGGGTTGGTTTTAATCTTTTTTTATTTTACTTTATTACTTGCTTTTTGTATGACTTTTTCTTTTTTAATTTTTACTTATTTTATATCCCTTTTTAATTATTTTTTTACTTTTTTCATTTTTTTTCACTGAACTTGATTGCCATCAACCAGGGGATATCAAGCCCCTGGTGGAGGGAAAACTGACAAGCAGACAAAAAAAAAACTGGGCGGCGGCTCCCCAACTCTACATTTAGCCCTGCTTGCCTGCAGCAGGGATTAAAAGTAGAAAAAAAAACACCTGCATGGCACCCGGAAACCAAGTACCGGGCGTCGAGCCCTTCACTATTACCAAGCTCCACGTTTTGAAGGCTTTTCCACCAAACATATACTTTAGTTTTGCATGGAGGTGTGTAGGCTTTGTGCAAAGTTCCACCCTTCTGCTGCCACCATTTCAAGGCATCTCCCAGTAATTAGTCTGCATTTGAATGATGTTATAGAGAATGCAGCAGAAGTGACAATTTGTGGCAGGAGAAGAGAGCACGGAACTAAGGTGGGCAAGTCTACCTGGTGTCTCCTCCCATAACTGAAATATTATGAAACTGAAATATCCAAAATACAAGCATTTTACTTCATTTCCAAAAAAATTGTGTAAAAAAACAAGATCACCTTGGGGTGTCTACTTGCAAAAAGGGGTCATTTTAGGGGCATTTGCACTTTCCTGGCATATGACAGGCTATTGTGGTTAAAGTAAATAAACATTAAATTATGACTGGCAGCTTGGGTTACTTTACGGATTAAGCTTTTAAATGATTTTTATGTATCTAATTCATTTAATCATGTCTTAATAAACATGTTTTAGCTAATGCATGTCCTACTAGGCTTTCTGTCAAACAAGTTAAACAAGATTGTTTGAAATGAAACCATGACGCAAGCTTTTCAGTCAGGGTGAAAAAAAAACAACATCTCTATGAAATTGTTCAAGAGTCAAAGCTAGTACTGCAGAATCTGCAAGACTGATGACTCAGCCAAAATTTGAGCACTGAGTGACCCTACCAGCATCTATTCTAGACAAAAGTTGATTTTTCCTATTAATTTTTGTCTAAGGAGCCCAGCTGAAAATTGGTGGCCGAACAGTGAGTGCAACCAGGTCAGTGACTGCAACCAATCACTATTCGGCAGGTTCTGGCTGTCAGAATACAATGTAACGTTTAGATGTTCCGTATAATATAGCCAATTTTTACTTGTTGAGTTTAGGTTGACATTAAAATCGGGCTCCTAGGAGAGGTGGCTCAGCATTAATGCTTATGGATCAACTGCAGACACTGCTGGCAAAGAGTTATTTGGACATGTTGGAAAACTTAGCCAACCTTTTAGCTCTCTCCAAGGCCAGGGCCAGAAATTCCTGCAGTGCAACTCTTTTTATTCTGTGTAGGGAGGAGAGCCCATTTATTCAAGTTTAGGGATTCTCTGCCTTGCATACATGCCCTAAAAAGACTGATATGCTTACTATTGGAAACATTGGTTACAGCAGCCAGTTAATCTTCAGAAACAGATATGTACACCAAATGATTCAAACAACAAATCGGCAGATGCCAGATTAGATATACTGTACAGAATCTCATGCAGTGTACTGACAGGAGTAAAGTGGTAAGCTGGCTATATAAAACGCCAACAATAGCAATTGATGCTCAAAATTTTAAGCAATGGGGCAATTCTAACCCCCCAGGGAGCAATAATGAAGGAGATTTTTGGACATGTTGGAAAATTTCCTGTGAGAAACTTTTGTGTTAGAAGAGTAAAAGGTGGAAAGCACCTTCACCACTACAATTCATTCAAGAACGATGCGACATGTCCCCTATCTGTTGTTCTCAGGGATATCATCTGCTCATCTATGTCACCATTACATAACTAATGCTGAATACACAATTTACATTTCATTATACACAATGCAAAAGTTTTAGGCGGATGTGGAAAAATGCTGTAAAGTAAGAATGCTTCCAGAAATAAGTGTTAATAGTTTATCTTTATCAATTAACAAAATGGAAAGTAAATGAACCAAAGAGAAATCCAAAATCAATATTTGGTGTGACCACCCTTTGCCTTCAAAACAGTATCAGTTCTTCTAGGTACACTTGCACGCAGTTTTTGAAGGAACTCGGCAGGTAGGCTGTTCCAAACATCTCGGAGAACTACAGATTGTTTCTGGGTGTAGGCTGCCTCAAATCCTTCTGTCTCTTCATGTAATCCCAGGCAGACTATGTTGTTATTAGGGCTCTGTGGGGGCCAAACCATCACTTCCAGGACTCCTTGTTCTTCTTTATGCTGAGGATAGTTCTTAATGTCATCGGCTGCATGTTTGGGGTCGTTGTCCTGCTGCTGAACAAATTTGGGGCCAATCACATGCCTCCCTGTTGGTATGGCATGATGGCTATTATCTGCTTGTATTTCTCAGCATTATAACACCATTCTTATCCATCATGCCATAGCATCAGGGAGGCGAGTGATTGGCCCCAAATTATTCTGTCTGGGATTACATGAAGAGACAGAAAGATTGGAGGCAGCCTACATCCATTGAAGATCTGTGGTTAGTACTCCAAGATGTTTGGAACAACCTACCTGCTGAGTTCCTTCAAAAACGGTGTGCAAGTGTACTTAGAAAAATTGATGCTGTTTTGAAGGCAAAGGGTGGTCAGGCAAAGGGTGGTCACACCAAATATTGATTTGGATTTCTCTTCTGTTCATTGACTTTCCATTTTGCTAACTGATAAAAATAAACTATTAACACTTTTATTTCTGAACGCATTCTTACTTTACAGCATTTTTTCACACCTGCCTAAATCTTTGCACAGTACTGTATGTAGTCAGTACAAGTGTCCTATGAGAAATCTGTATGGCTGCCAAAGATAACTAAACTTTGCACATTATGTTTGCATTGCCTCATTACTGATATGCCAACACCTAACTGGTTATTATTAAACATAATCACTACTGATCATTTAAATAAGTCCTTGTGAATTTAAAGTGCATTTTGCATTTAAAATCTTATTTTGATGGTTTTATGCGACTTGCAATTCAGTTTGTAGCCACTTGTAGTGGTACGCATGCCTGAAACAGGCAAAGTAAAATAAGGACATCACATATAGCTCAATGTGAATCATAACAATTAGCAATATGCAAAGTTTACAGCAAAATAGTTCCATATTTTGTTCTCAGAGTGCATTAGTGTGCCCTAAGCCAGTGCTACAACTATTTAGTTTGGCAGTGCTCACAGTAGTGTAATCACTGCTAACTACCAGTGGGTGTTGGCCTCATTTCTTTTCATTTCTATTTATTAATGAGCTGCTGGGTGAATTAAAAACAATTTTTGATCACACTGTAGTCTCAAAAGTTATTTTTAGCCTTACAAATATACAAAATAAACCATGCAAAAAACACTTACCATTAACATTTTATGCAGATCTTCCTCAAAAGCATCCATGTTACAATCAGGCTTTTGAAAGTCATCCAGCCCCTCTCTCAACATGAACAGGTAGTATTGCTTCATCAACAGTCCACCTTTCAGAACTTCTTTGCACTCTCTCACTAACTATTTCAGAAACACAATATTGAATTATTTTTTAGGATAATGTTGGCAAAGCCCTTGCATGAGAAGAACAGGAAAATGTGCAAATGTTTACTTAGAATATACCTCTGATGGGTAGTTCTCAGAGCTGTTGTCAAGAGTCATAATTCATAAACAGTTATCTCGCCAGTGGTAGATTCATCTAGTACATTTATTTCCCCTATTTTTAATTTCAATGAAATTGTGATCTGATGTAATTAGCGTATGGCTAATCAACTAAAACAGATTTGCAAACATGAACAAGTATTAGTAACACTATAGTAATTGTATGCATTAACATTTGTGTGTGGTCGATGCCAGGTTGGTAGAACACAGTAAAGTCCCTTTCACACAGGCTGATCAGGAGAGGATCTGTGCACAGATCGTCTCCTGATCACAGCGGATGTCATGTTTACATCAGATTACCCCCGATCCGGGGAAACGGATCTCCGATCAGTCTGTTTCTCTAGACCTGGCCCGGGGTGACTGGGTGTAAATGGAAGCTCATGCGTTTACACACGGCTGCCCATACACTTGCATTGGGCATCCGATCGGGTCTGCCTGAAAAACTGACAGGCAGACCCAATCAGACCGGCCATGTGAAAGGGGCCTAAACTGCTATAACCTTCACTGTTTTGCAATAAAGCAAATACATTTTCATACCCTGAATCAAATAAACATATGACAGAAAATATTATAGAAAGCGAATACTCGGGTGTATAGGATTCCCCCACAGATTTTTCTGCCAATCCACATCCACTAACGTTTTCAAAAGCTTGAAGACATAGGAAATATTTACTTATATACACTTAATACCAACCTGTTTAATGCTCAAGAGTGACGGTTCCCCTGCAGGCCTCTGTTCCAGTCTCAATTTGAGACACTCATGAATTACATTTAAAAGGACACGACAGAGGACCAAGAAGGCCGGTTCAAATGACGGTAAGTCCATGGCCCTCAGCTCTTCTAGTGACACGGGGTCACATGCGGGTTCTGAGTTGTGCAGCGAAGTAGATAATTGCTTCAGCAGGTCAGGCAAGTAATCTGAACATAACAGGAGGTCGGGGAATTCTGAAGACTAGACCCATATAGAGACAAAAATTAGGCTACATTCAAAACATTTCAATAGCTGTATTTATAAAAAGATGATTAGAAAACATGCCTCTGTATTTTTTTCCATGGCAGCGGATTACACACCTTAAGTGGTTTTTTACTTTCACTCCAACCCTTCTAAAAGTTGACTGGACCCAGTGCATCAGATCTTTTAAGTGTAGTTAAAAGAACTGCATTGGGCCATTATATAAATGATCAGACATACAAATATTCAAAGTCAACAATCAGATTCTCCTCTTCCATTTGTGCAAGCAGACAGACAATTAGGCTTCATTCACACTTGCCACTTGCGCTTTTAAGCTCTATATGCAGAGGCAAATCAGTCAGGCTAAATGTTGTGTTTATGCTTCTCGAAGCGTTAAATCATGCGCGTTTACATGCATTTGCGTTTAGATGCATCTGGTACTAAACCCTAGCATCAATTCGCGTTTACATGCGTTTGTGCATTTAGAAGTTAAAGGAGAACTATGAGGTGAGTGCTTTTCACTCACCTCATAGTTCCAGCCGACCTGTGACAATGAGACGTCACAGGTCGGCTTAGTAGATCGGGAGGTGAGCGATCTACTCTGCCGTGACAGGGGAGGGGCTGGATTCCCCACTCCCCACTCCGATCCGCCAGCGCTGACTGGCGGAACGGACGAGGGAGGGGCGGGTACAGCTGGCTCTGCCTCTAGATCCGCTTCAGCTGCGGCGTGTAAGTATACCGCGAGCAGCAGCTCGCGGTATACTGCGGCGTCTCAGTATACGCGAGCTACAACGCACAGTATACTGAGCCTAGGGGAGGGCGGGAGGACGCTAGTTTGTGTCCTCCCATCACCCTATGGAGAGCAATGGAGAAAAGCCCTAACCCCATAGTTCTCCTTTAAAATCGATTGCTGGACGCATCTGACCTTTTTTCTTAACGCAGATAAAACCATCTAAATGCAAAGTTTCAATAGATCCATTGGAAATCATTAGATAGATATATACTGTATGCGGTAAGAAAAACAATTTTTAAAACACATATAAAAACGCATCTAAATTGCACCCAATGTGAATGTAGATAAATAAGCACCAGTGTCAAAAAAAGATTCTGACTAAATTTAAAACTAAATGTGAAATGACAAGTGCCATGACCAGGGCTTGAAAAATCCACTCGTCTGTGACAAGCGGATGGCAGAGACCGACGAGCAGCTTCCCGGCCGGCCGTTGTAATTACACGGCCGGCAGCTTTACATTGAAGCGATCAAGCTTCTCGAGACGCCCGGTCGCTTGTATTACCAGCAGCTGTCACTGCAGTTGCCGGTTCCCGCTGTGCCTGATGCTGCCGGGATCGGCACGGCTCTGTGACAGGAGATCAAAGGGAGATCAGTAGACGACCTCTCTTTGATCTATTCTCTAGTCCCGGAAAACGCAGATATGCGTCGGGTGCGCCTACGTGCGAAAACAACGATTGCGCCTATTGTGACATATAACCGCGAACGTCGGAGTGTAAGCAATAATTTTAGGGCCATTAATTACTGATAACACTAAACTGATGAGTGGTAAAAGCGTTTTAAGCATTGCCTATAGCCAAATTTCAGTGTGGTAGTTTTTTTGCGATTTTGCGGGCGCACGCAATTTTAAGGCTTGACATGTTTGGTGTCTATTTACCTGACTTGACCCCGTCTTTTATATTGTACCAAAAATATGGGTAAGAATAGATGCTTTATAACATAATGTAGGGAAAACATTTTTTTATTCGAAATTACGGTACTTTTTTCATTATATAGTAAAAAAAAATAACCCCCCCACCCCAGTGGTGATAATATACCTCCAAAAGAAAGCTCTATGTGTCCCCAAAAAATGTAAACATAAATTGCAAGGCGATAGTCGGGTCATGCTGACTGGTGAGATTTTTGACTGACTGGTGAGACACCCTAACATTTTTCAAGCCCTGGCCATGACTGTATATATTTACAAGCACAGAAAATAAAAAAGACTAAGCAGATGTTACATACAACTTTGTCAGTTTCAAGAGATTCTGCTCTTGAGGCATTACAGAATTGTTTATCTACAGAGAATGTACAGGCAGGTATTTTCTAATAATGCAAACTGCCCCCCTTTTACTTTTTGAAATTACATATTTTATATTTATCCTTCAGAAAATAGTTTAATACTGGCAAAAACAAGCTAGAAAAACATTAACCACTAAGCACATAGACTATGATATAGCCTTAAAGGAGAACTATGAGGCGAGTGCTTTTCACTCACCTCATAGTTCTAGCCGACCCGTGACAATGAGACTGTCACAGGTCGGCTCAGTAGATCGGGAGGTGAGCGAACACATAGCGGCGTTCGCTCACCTCTCAATCATGTCACAGCCCTGTGCCGTGACAGGAGAGGGGCTGGATTCCCCCCTCCGATCCGCCAGCGCTGACTGGCGGATCGGACGGGGGAGGGTACAGCTGGCTCTGCCTCTAGATAGGCAGCTGGGCGGATCCAGACATAATTGTCGGATCCACTTCAGCGTCTCAGTATACCGCGAGCAGTAGCTCGCGATATACTGTGGTGTCTCAGTATACCGCGAGCTGTAGCTCGCGGTATACTGAGCTTAGGGTGACGGGAGGACGCTAGTTTGTGTCCTCCCGTTACCCTAAGGAGAACTATGGGGAAAAGCCTTAACCCCATAGTTCTCCTTAAAGGCTGAACTCCAGTAAGTAAGTAAAGTAAGACATGCAGGAATGGGGCCCATTGCATGAGTCTCACAAAATCCTCCGTGAGACTCTTGCGATCTGCTGCAGACGGAAGGCACTGTATATTACATTGTTATTGCTCCAAGTGGTTCACAAGCTGTTTGCATGTAATCACACAGGCTGCCATTACCTGCGCCTGGAAAATCCGTCTTACAATGGCAACTAGTCAGATAGGTAGAACTTATCTCTGAAGGTGGATTTTGCTTGCCAGTAAAATATAAAAACTACCTCCAACAACCATTCTTACCTCCAATTTATGATCAGTCTTTATTAAGGCTGTCCGTGCCCTCTGAAGTGAGCCATGCATTAATTTATGAAGCCTCAAAATTAGCTTCCGAAGCCCCATCTGCTTTAATGCTTTGTCCACAAAGGGCCTGTATATTGAGGTCAAACAGTGCCTGTTACAGCCAGACTCCTGAGTGCACTCTGGATTTCCCCAGCAAGAGTCATCCTCGGATGCAAATCTGTCAAGTTTTTGTAGGCAGTGGTCCCCTTTCATAGAGTGAACCTTTAACTTGTTGTTTTGGTTACGGTCAGTTTCATGCCTAGCTTGTAGCATATCGTCATCATTTTCTTCATCACTTTCCTCTGTACAAGTTCCGGAACCCTCTGTGCTCATATCCCCCTCTTGTTCCATGTCATTGTCTTCCTCTGGACCATTTGATGGACGTGGTGAAGAAATTTCAAACACTGGCCAGCCAATGTCAGAAAGGTTTTTGATACCTAAAACAGTTCCCATAATCCTCAGCTTGTGGTTAAGGTCCTTAGTTATATTAAGCCATAAGCAGAGTGCCTGCACTCGTGCTTGAAAGTCTTTTGCTGCATATTTTTCATAATCTCGCTGAAGAGCCTGTAAAGATGGGTAAAGTGCCTCAATGTACTCCAAGAGTTCCATAATCTGTTTTACTTGCTCAAAAGAAATCCTCTGTTTCTGGATGTGGTCATGATAGCTTGAATAACCAAAAGAATTCGCTTCATGAGGGCATGGATACTGCCCCCCTGCAACGGGTCCATTGAGATTGCCACCATTGCTGACCGAAGACAACCTTCCATAGTTTACCTTAAACGTTAGAATTTCATTAATTATATCCGGTATTGTCTGGCGAGCTGTATACAAGTACAAGTCTTGATCATTAATACTGCGGCCAGCATGCCAAGCTTGAAGCTCTAGCCAAAAGAGTTCATTAGACTGATTAAACCACATAGAAGAGTTATTTTCCTGACCTCGCTGTTCCCTTTCTTTTTTCTTCGAGACTGAAGTAAGCTTAAGTAAAAGACGAAGCGTCTCAAAAAACTTCAAGCGGTCAGCTGGACAGTCTGTTCTAGAGGTCTGTCTCGCAGTCCTAGCAATTGGAACAGGAACAGACACTGGTAGCTTACTGGTGCTGCTGCAACCAAGGCTGAGGTAAGGCTTATTAAGATCAACATCTGGTATAGACTTTTTTGGCAAGGCGCTACAGGTAGGATCCAGCATAAATGAGCATTGCACATTATTCTTCTGATCCCTCTCGGTTGTCCTGAGTGTTGCCCGATTCTTCTTCTCCTGCCGGTAGCTGTGATCCTCCACGTTTTCAAGGTTTTTACCGGCTTCCTTCTGTGGTGTCTGATTTGGCGTGCTCATCTTTTCTGTAGTGTGAACAAATAAAAAATATTAGTAAAGTTGTCACTATGTGTAGGAACAGTGTCTATAAAATGCATTCACCCTTTTGCAAGTTTTCATGTTTAATTGCCATAGAACATTGAATCACAGCACATTTTTACAATGGACGACAGAAATATACTCTTTAAATGTCAAACCTAACAGAGCTTAAAGGAGAACTATGAGGTGAGTGATTTTCACTCAACCTCATAGTTCGAGCCGACGTGTGACAATGAAACTGTCACATGTCGGCTCAATAGAACGGGAAGTGAGCAAACACATGCCGTCGCTCGCTCACTTCTCGATCATCTCCTTGTAGAAAGCTCCCCCTCCCCGCTCCAATCCTTCAGCGCTGACTGGAGGAGCTGACTGGTGGAACGGACAGGGGAGGGGGGCGGGCACAGCTGGCTCTGCCTCTAGATAGGCAGAGCCAGCTGTCAATCACGCAGCAGGGTGGATCGACAGTTATGTCGGGATCCATCCCAGCTGCGGCGGTCTCAGTATACCGCGAGCTGTAGCCCGCTATATACTGAGCTTTGGGTCACGAGCGGACGCTAGTTTATGTCCTCCCGTGACCCTTAGGAGAACTATGGGGAAAAGCACTGACCCCATAGTTCTCCTTTAAGAAGTTTTTCTAAAAGGATGTGCAAGGCTGTTACAAGCCTATACCCACAGACTCAAGGCTGTAACTGCTACAGATGTATCTATTAACCCTTTCACTGCCAGGCCCTGCGCTCCACTTTTAACCGCAGATGGCCAGGCCATTTTTGCAATCTTTTACTTATTTTATTATTTTTAAACTTACGGATTTTAGCGTTTGTAAAAGACCCCCCAAACCATACATTTCCTGAAAAGCACAGGACTGATGGAATAAAACTGACTACCTCAAACAGAGTCAATTCCCTAGCACAGCGCCCTTGCATATCCTTTTAGAAAAACGACTTAAGCTCCGGTAGGTTTGACATAGCCGCCCCCCCCCTCTTGAGAGTGTCCAATTACTCCCTGTGATGGCCCAAGTCCTTCACATCTCACCCCATAACTCTTTATGTAATAACCAGGGAGTGGTGAAGGAGAATACAATAGATTGTCATGGAGTCTGCTGGGTCTACTGACATTACATTGAAGATGGTAGCTTTTAGATATCTATACATGGATGGCACAAGTAAATAACATGCATACAATATGTGGAATGCATGTATAATCTCATGGGACGATTTTTGTAGAAATTATCTGACAGTCTCTTTAAAATAAAGCCCCTTCACTGACCTAACCTAACCTTACCATCCCACCCACCCCAGGTGACTTACCTCGATCCAATGGCTAAGGTCTCCTCTGTATATTTACATCCAACTCTTTAGTGTCCTGGCCAGGTCCCTGCATTACAGCTCCATAAGGTTCTATAGAGCCATCTCCTAAGGCCAGAAACACAGACTCATAAAAGTCTATGAGGTTGTAATGTGCAGACGTGACCAGGGAACTGAGGCCCCAATTTTTTGTTCAGATGCGGCCACTGTACCCATTCAAGTAAATGACCGAGTGAAAGCGGCTACAACTGTAAATGGCAGCCTGCATGTAATTGCACACGGTACAGTATGGAATGGAACAGTATTTGTTGTGAACAGAAGAAAAAAGTAAATTGAAATTTACACCAGAAAATGGGAGAGAATTACCTCAACCCCATCTCCTCTGCTGTGTAAAGAGGGCTCCAAGCTTGAATCAAAAAGAGCGAGCCGGAAGCTCTTTTTAAAAAAAAATACTATACCTGCAAAATAATCTGCTACAGACATTTCTGTTAGAATTTGTATTATAACTATATGTATCTCAACTTAGCAGACCGGCAGGTTTCTTCCAATTCCCCCATTCAAAATGAATGCACTGTGTTCACTGACCTGAACACACAATATACAAAAACATTTTGCAAACGCCTGTGGTGGCAATATAAAGGATATTGTAATGGTTACATTGTCTGCTAATGAACAAGTACTACTTCCTGTGTATGACCAGCTTCTCAGGTATACAGAGAGTCTAGATTAGTAAGAATGAGAAAAGCACATCCTTGCCAAAACTTTCACTGTGATAATTCTGACACCATCTAAAATTCACTGCAAGTGTAACTACACAGTAGATGAAAAGTCAAATAAACATATGTAGAATTCCCTATTTGCTGGCCTTCTGTGCTTTCTCTGAACACAAGACGTTTCTTATCTAAACATAATCTGTAATTTTATAAACTGTAGATCATTATACAGAAGTGCTCAAAGTCGGCATCACAGTGACTGCAATCGTACGTGCTACAGTGGGGGTTCCTAAACGTTTTAATCCAAGGATCCAGCACAGCCATACAAAGATAAGTAACAATTTTTCTCATTTGTAAAGAAGGAAAGTGAAACACTAACATATGGCTAATAAAAAATAATTATACCTTAAAAACAGAATAGAAACTGATACATATTCCAAAACCAATCCACAAAAAAAAAAGTGCAGTGCTTACTCTAAGTCCCCGTTCACACCAGGGCGTTTGTAACTTGTATTTTTCAGCACGGAAAAGCTCTGCACAAGCCTGTGAAGTATGCGCTTTTTTAGTGAGATCAGCGCAATGTGACCCTTTTTCCTATTCCTAATCGCAGTGATTTGCCCAAAAAAGAAGCTTGTGTACCTTTTTCCAGCGACCAGCTTTTTTCTCAGTGCAACACTGCCAAGAGACGTGAACAAGGACTACAGAAATCAATAAGATTTGTGTGGAGCTTTTTTCCGTGCTGAAAAATATGGGCTACAAAGGCCCTGGTGTGAACGGGGACTTAAGCTGGCAGTGCTTATATTTTTGAAAGATCTTTCTTTCGACTTTCTATTAGTGGGGTTAAATTGACGATTGATTTCGACCGTAGTGACAATAAAAGTTGAGCAGGATGGAAAAGTTTTCTTGAACAAACGAAACTCTAAGAGTGAATGTTTTCGTTCGAGAAAATCCATTTATTCCAAAAATCGAATGTTGAAATAAAATTACATTTTATTTTACATTCGCCAAGTGTCTGATGGCATTATTGGGTGGTAAAGGAAGATCTTTCGTTCAGAAACCTACTAGTGTATGGCCAGCTTAAAACACAATCTTCCAATGATCTCTGGAAACATTTACAACCTTTCTATAAGTGTAATTAAAACCTCTTAGGTTTGGGGACAATTTTATTTTAAACTAGGGATGCACCGATACTAGTATCAGTGCCGATACTGAGCATTGAGGCCAGAACTCATACTTACCCCAATACCGCAACTTCCAGTCAGAAGGAGATTCCCTCTGACCAGCAGTGCCACGAGGGAGCATGGACTCGGCCAATCAGGAAGCTGGGTGGCGGGTCATGACCCGCTGCCTGGCTTCCCGATTGGTTAGGAAGCCATCTTCATGATGTCTAGCGGCACTACGAGGCAGCCTGGCTTCCTGACCAATCAGAAAGCCGGACGGCAGGTCATGACCCACCTCCTGGCTTCCTAATTGGCTAGGTACCCGGCTTTATGCTGCCCAGCAATGCTGCAAGGCAGCCTGGCTTCATGACCAATCAGGAAGCCGGGAGGCACGTCATGACCCCCCTACTGGCTTCCTTATTATTTTTTTTTGGTATTTTTTATTTTATTTAACTGTATTTATTTTTTTACACAATGGAGATGACAGGTTCTCTTTAAAATGTGACATAGGGGTCTATTGACCCCTAGTGTCACCTTTCCACTTTAACAGCTTTAGCTGGGGAATGACAGCTGAAAACAGAACAGGCAGTGCCTGAGAGCAATAGCCAGTCTGCTTTTGACTATTTCAAATTGCAATAGCAGGTCTCCTCCATGTCCTCCTTCTGCTGATTGACAGCAGGCAGTGGGCGGGTGCAATAGCCAGCCTGCTATTGGCTACTGCAATTTAAAATAGCCAGTAGCAAGCTGGCTTTTGGTGCCGGCCGCTGGATTGGAGACCAATCGCGGCCGACAGCAGGAGCAGGGGGAATGCAGGGGGGGAGTTTTGTCTCCCAGCACTGTTGCAAATAAATTCTGCTGATCTCCTCCCTGCTGCAGACTCACAGATTGTCGGCGGTTTCTCCTTACAGGCTGTAATTGGCTACAGCAATCTGTGCCCCCACTGACACAGATCGCTGCAGCCGATTACAGCCTTTAAGGAGAGATCGCTGACAGTCTGAGTCTGCAGCAGGGAGGAGAACAACAGACTTTATTTCGGCGGTAATGGGAGAAGAAGCGGAGGAACGGGCTAACAAAAGCCCAGGCACCAGAATGCAATAATGTCGCATTGGCGAACCTGGCACCTGGGATTTGCCAAGTCCTGTCTTTACAGCATAGTAAAGACCTGCACAAAATGTATAGACAGACTCAAGAGCTCTACCTGCAAGCTGGTAAATATAAAGTAGCATTTCAGTATACCAATATTTGATAAATTAACAATGATTCAGAACATAGTAAAAGGAATCATGTACAAGAACACTATCATGGTTATTCACAAAAGGGTGAAGAGTTTGGAGAAGGCAGGAGAAGTGAACAATCTAGAACAACATAGCTGAACTGGAAAGTGAGCTGAATTGGATTTTTTTTCCAAAATCGGCTATTTTAGCCTAGATTGTTCACTTCTCCTTCCTTCTCCAAACTCGACACCCTTTTGTGACTAACCCTATATATATTCCGTTTAAAGGATGTGATTTGTATACTGTACCTTTAAGAGGTATAAACGCCATATATACAGAGAAGTGCTACACAACGTGAAATAATATATTGGACAACTTCAGCATATCCCCAATGTAAACTGTTAACTGACCTTTGCATAAGGAACGGCTAACCGACCTCCCAGAGCTGTTCCGTTGATGTTTGCTAGACATGCGTTTCATCTGTCGGGGAGTGCTGGGAGGAGAGGTGCCATAGAAGGTTTCTGCATTGACTTCATCTGAAAACTCATCAGCTTCACAGCCCAAACTGTCTCCACCAGCATTTTCGGTTTTGCGCATGTGCCTGGAAAACAAGAGAAAACAGTATAGCAGATTGTGCTAAAACATGTTTTGTTCCCAAACTTCAGAAAAAAACAAAAACTATTTAAGACTACAAAAAATTGTGTTAAAATAAATGCAGACACCTTGTCATAAACAAAGACAAATCCCATCATGATCAAAGCAAAGAAGCACTACCTGTGTTATTCATCAACAAAATGACATACATAACAATAATGAATAATGTGTTTATAAATGGACCAGGCATGAAATATACAGTTGTTATGCAGAAAACAGATAGCATGCCATTTTGCAATAGGCCTATGTGAAAATATGACATCATTGTCATAGAATTAACAGTAAAGCCAGAACAACAGGCACAAGAACATTCCAAGCTCAACTTAAATAGTTCAAATTCTCTCTTCAGGGAAGACTTCGGAAGGGAAAATATAATAGGAATATTACATAATATCAGGCGTGCACTTGGTCGTCAGATGAAACAATCCATGCACTGAATGGAGCAAATATTTTCACAGTAGCAGGGAATAGCATCCGTTTATCCAATGAATGGTAGATGGGATCAGCGATCGATGGACTTAGTAGTCACTAAGTGGGTCCAAGATCCTCAGAAGCAGCACATTGTCGGAGATAAGTTCCAATTTCTACTACAGGGAAGCTTTACAAAACATGATTTCTCCTTCCAAGAAGGGAATTTAAAAAAAAACAAAAACGCTCACATATAAACTTTTAAGCTAAAGTTATCATCAACCTTTCTACAAACAAGAACAAATCACTACTGGCCAGAATCTGCAAATACAAACATGTCTCCCCCACTACATATGTAAAACTACCAACACCCCCTCTCAGCACAGCTACACAGGCATTGGCTTACTGGATGAAAACAGGTAAAGACAAAAGCACAAGATCACAATTACAACTAACTACTCCCTGGGAAATGCATACCATTATAGGTGTTGATGGAAACATGCTATTGTGGAGGTACACAGCTGCCTGAGAGCATTATCATTGTCTTTGATTGAAACTATTTCTATGAATGCATTTAAAACAGTGGTGGTCATCTTACTTGATATAGGTGGACTCAAGTGCGGCCCCCGACATTACTAAAAGGGCCATAATGAATGTAATACTACAAAAAAAATTGTGCAAGACTGCAGACCTGTAACAGGAGATGGTCACGAGACTACAGACATGTAACAGGAGATGGTCACAAGACTGCAGACCTGTAACAGGAGATGATCAGAGACTGCAGACAGGTAACAGGAGATGGTCACGAGACTGCAGACATGTAACAGGAGAGGGTCACGAGACTGCAGACATGTAACAGGAGATGATCACGAGAGTCAGAGACTGCAGACATGTAACAGGAGATGTTGGAGACAGAAGACATGCTTCAGGGCCTGTTCACACGACGTCCGTTTTCTGTGCTGACCTGATCCGTACGCTCCTGCACTAAAAATGCATCCCAATGTATCCCTATGTGTTTTATGGGCTACAGTTCTCACGTGCGCAGTCTGTTCAGGTTACGACAGAAAAAATACTGCATGTCACATTTTGTACGGTCCGGAAACACAAAACGCATCAAAAACGCACTGCAGCTAACATACCGACAGCCCCACTCCAACAAAAAATGCATCAAAAACGCGGCCAAAACGCAATGCATCAGTAGCAACGTGTCTGCAGATCCGCACCTGATCAGGACCTGATATGTGAACAGGCCCTCAGGGCACAGTCATAGATTGGAAATACATTATGACACTGCTAGAGATCACTAACAAGAACAGTGCTTCCACAATGCTCCCTACTGCCTTCTAAAAAAATGCTTATGCCCCCTTTGATATTTCTCTCAGCAAGATCCATTTTAAAGAACTGAAGAAACATATACAATATAAGAAGAAAAATTAAAGGACAGCACACAACAAATCTAGATAGTGTGAAAGAAAGAAAACAAACTCTTTAACTACTAGGAACCAAGTCTAAAGCTGGCCGTACACTCTACCATAGATGTGTCGGAGGATCGCTCCATGTGATCAGGGATCGCTGGCTCCTCGTACAGGACACATGGCCATACGTTCCTGGGCAGCATTAATGTCCTGTGCCAGGTACCGTAGTACAGGCACTATACTTCCTTTGCCCTGCCTTCCTTACATTTTCTCCATCCTCTCTGTTGCCTGGTTGATGAGGGAGACTCCCCCAATATGCGGATCTTCTCATCAATAAAACCTCTAAAATGACTACCTCCAAACTTCCTGATGAAGCTGCGGCGAAACGTGTAGAACGCTGGACCCAGTACAGAATTACATATGATTTAATGAGGATTATGACTTTAGATGAAACTGTTAGGACATTGTTATAAGGAAGTTGATACCAAAACAGTGTATTGAGTTGAAATCATATACAATATGTATCTGTATGGGCTCCAGGGAGGTTCTATGTCGTGGTATACCAATTATTGCCATGTAGGCGAACCATAATTCTTTTTTTTTTTTTAAAGATGAGAGGACATGCTTTTTTTACTTGTATGTTTATATGTATTTTTTAAAAATAAAAGTAATGGTTATTCTAATAAATGATACTACATGGTGACCTACGTGTTATTATATGTTTCGTTATGTCCCCTTGCATTCTGTAGAGGACATCTTAAAAGCCCCACCTAGTTCTGTTTGGTATATATTTAAAATATTTAGGGGTGTGGTGTCCTTGTTCCTGTGGAGATTCTAAATATTTTGTATAAATGGGACAGAAAACATGGCAATAAACGTTAACTAAACCTCCCATTATACTAGAAATGCTTTTGTTGCTCTCTGTATCCCTCCTGAACAGAGTTCCTATTATTGATGTCCTTGTGACATGGTCACGGTGGGAGGAAGTGAGGGAGAAATCTCTCCAATTAGGACAATAGCAGCAAACAAGTGTTGATAGACAATCTAATGATGGCCATACACTGTACGATTTTTGGTCGGAAATCGTACATGGTCAAACGAAAATCGAACAGTTGATGGTACATCACTGTTTTCATTTTTGATACTGTGATCAAGATTTTTTGATCGATCGGTCAGGTTGGAACATTTTTCTGTGACTGAACGAAAATCAATGAATCAGTGAGGTTTTCGGCCGTCAAAAATCTTAGCAAGAACACAGCACATGCGCAAAAGGAGTTTATTTCCGCTGTTCGTCAAAAATTGGTTTGTTAGTAAGGTTAACGAACGATTTCTAAAATCAACATTAAAGACTATGCTTGATGGGGTATTCGAGCTATAAATCGCAGTCAGTTTGTGGCAGAAACAAACATTTTGGACCAAAAATCTAGTGTATGGCCACCTTAAGTGTCTATCCCAAAGTGAAAAGAAACTTTTGGCTGGAGTTGAGCTTAAAAGTGTATCTATATCCAAAGAACTCCTGTCAGGTTTTACTGCCACAGCAGGCTTAACTGGAGAGGTCTTCCCCTTACTTCATGTCCTGAGGACAACATTTTTGACAGACAGGAAATAAAGGAATCTCTTCACCAGCAAAACGCAGAAGTCAAAATGTTTTGCGTAGGGGAATGCTAAAACCTCTGGTCAGCTTTTTAACAGTTGTTTCCCTGGTTGCAGATGTTTTTCCCCACTCCCTGTCTGCGATCATCGCAAGCCCGCCCCCTTGGGGGACAGGCTTGCGATGACTGCAATGAGGGGCGGGCTTGCAAGGACGGCAAACAGGCAGTGTGCGCGTGCGCACACCGGCACGTTCGTCAGTTGTCGAACAAGCAGGCCACTAACTCGCCGAGAATCGTATGATTCCCGGCGGGTTTTCCAGCCTGCTTGTTTGATGGAAGACGTGCGACCGTATAGTAGAAACGGTCGCACGCCTTCCATACACTGTACGATTCTCGTACGATCGCGGGATTTCCCACGATTCTCGTATGAGAATCCCACGATCGTACGAGAATCGAGCAGCGTGGACGAAGACGTACGACCGTTTCCACTGTATGGTCGCACGTCTTTTGTCTAAGGAGCATGTGCACACTGCCCGTTCAGCATTGCGGTCATTGGAAGCCCGCCCCTCAGGGGGGCGGGCTTGCGATGATCGAGAGTACGATCTGCCTGTCCAAGATGGGCAGATCGTATGTTTTTTTAATCACTTTACAACCATCGCAAGACTAAGGTCTTGCGATGGTTGTACAGTGTATGGCCACCTTAACAGAGCCCCAGGGGAGACAAGGGTTCCAACATTTCCCCATTGTACCCAAAAAAAAAGTTTGGGGTATAGCTTCACTTTAACCGCAAAATCACAATGGAGGAGTATTCATGGAGTAGAAATACCAACACTCTATATTCCAACCAATGATGAGCTTCATAACTGTTTTAGAACATATGTCAACATCTGTTGTTCTACTGAAAAGGTTAAAGGATACTTATTGTGCTCCTCCCGGCAAGCGAGGGTCAACCTTGGACAAACAATACAGCAGAGGAGACAGTAGTGGAGTCATTAGTTAGTGCTTCAATGCTGCATAGACTTAAAAGCAACGTGAAATGAACTGTTTAAACCCCCTGCAGAGAATGCTGTGCAAGAGTCAAACACAATTTACAATGCAAATGTCCTCCTGTTGTAGGAGATGCTACAAAAGAACTTGTTTTGTAAAGCAAAAACACGCCCTGAGCAGAAAACAAAAATAACAATTCCTGAAACCATTAAATTTGGTAGCAGCAAACTACAAGCAATATTTTTGTACTTTAAGTCAGCAGCTTGAGCAAGACATCAACAACAAATAGATCGTTTTTTATTGCCACTGTATTTGAAAAATGACATTTTGTGTAGTTAAAAGTGACACATTGCAGTGTGCAGTCAAGTACCTTAAAAGAGAACTATGGGGTAACCTTTTTGTCCCATAATTCTTTAGGCCTTGTTCACACCAAATGCAGAGCAGATCCGGTCAGGTTTCTGCACACGCATGCTAGCCTTTTAGATGCGTTTTTGGCTAACATGGGCTTTCAGTGCGTTCCAGGCATTTGCATTCATTGTTGATGCGTTTGCAGATCCAGAGGAGGTAAAATAGGACCTGCTGCAGTTTTTTTGACCTGCTCTGGATCTGCACGCTGCGATGTGAACTGGAGCTAAAAATACCATTGGAATACATTGGACGCAGTTTTGATCCGGTCTGCACCTGCTCCGCGCTTGGTGTGAACTGCGCCGCAGCGGGGACGGATCCCGACAATACTGTCGAGAGCCACCCAGCTGGCTGATTGACAGCGGGCTTTTTGCCTATCTAGAGGCAGAGCCAGCTATGCCTGCCTTCCCTCCCCAGTCCATTCCTCCAGTCAGCGCTGGAGGATCAGAGAGGGGAGGGGGGATCCCTGTGGGGAGCGTTGACCGACAGCCACCGCTCACTGCAGGCAGATGGTGGGGGAGTGAGAGAGTGGCGGTATGTGTTCACTCACTTCCCGATCAATAGAGCCGACGTGTGACAGTTTCAATGTCACACGTCAGCTTTATGAGGATGAGTGTAAAGCACTCATCCTCATAGTTCTCCTTTAAAAAGGAGAACTATGAGGCGAGTGCTTTTCACTCACCTCATAGTTCTAGCCGACCTGTGACAATGAGACTGTCACAGGTCGGCTCAGAAGATCAGGGGGGGTGAGCGAACACATACCGGCGTTCGCTCACCTCTCGATCCTGTCACGGCTCTCTGCCGTGACAGGGGAGGGGCTGGATT